CGAGATGATCATACATTTGCACATGTCATTGGTCTATTATGTAATTCTAAGACGGCTGAGAACCGTTCGAAAAACTAAATAATATTTGGATTTTTTTTAAAGACCATGACCAGCAAAAACACTATCTCCATTAGCAACGCTTGTCACATAACAGAAATGACAGAAAAACATCGTGTATTACTCAAATGTTTTTAAGAAATAGAAAAATCGCTTTAGGGGACCACAGCCGAAGTTTTTTCTTAAAAACATTTGAGTAACACACGATGCGATCCAGTTTTGCTTTCTGATTTCAAATATGCCTTCATTTTCCATTGAAGAGGTATAGGAAGTGGGAAGAATACAAAATAAACGGCCTGCCTCAGTGCTGAAAACCTATTTTTTCTCAATGTTTACGCTCCCGCACTAGCAACTTGTTTATAACTACCAGATAAAGCATTCAATTTTGCGCAAAATGAGACTGAATAATGTTTTAATCTTCAGTCGCTTTTACCGTAGAACGGTGTTACTAACGCAGTAAAGAAAATTGCCATGTGAAAAGTATACCTTAATTTTGATAATAAAAAATTTATAACTCCTGAAGGAGAGAATACTTTTTTATGAGATGTGTGCTGTTTTATACCAGAAAATGTGAGAATGTTTTTCTGTCATTTCTGTTATGTGACAAGCGTTGCTAATGGAGACAGTGTTTTTGCTGGTCATGGTCTTTAAAAAAAATCCAAATATTATTTAGTTTTTCGAACGGTTCTCAGCCGTCTTAGAATTACATAATAGACCAATGACATGTGCAAATGTATGATCATCTCGCCTATCCAACGGTAAAATTCGTTTGTCAAAAACATAGAAGGACATTGAAAAATTTTTGTTATTATATGAGTATCACATAGGGTATCCAGTGTCCAAACCTTTTAGTTTTCACAAGAACCATAAACCGCCAAGTCCTAAGAAGCATATAGTCAGACGCACCTCATAAACATCTATCTTACCTTATAATAGAAAGCTATTCATTTGAAAAATTAAAAAGCAGCGGTATGCTTAGCGGCAGACAATGATGAAGAATTTCAAGTTACCTCCACCAAATCCGCCGCCGCCGCCGCCACGACTATAACCGCCTCCTCTCCCACGTCCTGAAAAGAATGTAAAAGATCAATAAACGTTTCACAGCTTCTTAGTTGATTGCCTACCTCCACCAAAACCACGGTCTCCTCCACCAAAATCTCGTCTAAAATAATACAAACATATTAAGATATGTTTGAACGTTGTTTTCCCGACCATACCTCGGCCGTCTTTGTGCCAGTTGAACTTTGACAACAGTTCCTAACGCTGAAATGTGTTGATCTAAAAGAAAGAAATTAATAGAGCTCATTCTTACTAGACTTTACTGCTCTTGTTTACGTACCGTTGTATTTTGAGATAGCCTGATCAGCCGTATTCTCATCTTCATATGACACTGTTGCACGACCATTTCCTTCACCCGTCATGCGATCTTTATAAATCCATATTTTTGGTCCACCACTTCGTTGATCAGACTAAAAAAACAGATTATGATCAATCGTACAATAAATAAGAAAATTCCATCCGAATTACTTTGATTTGTCCAACTTCAGAGAATGCATCATATAATTCGTCACGCGTAATATTTTTTGGCAAATTTTGAATGAAGATTGTGTCTTTTTGAATTTCAACTTCATCGTCATCATCTCGTCGATCACCGCCACCTAAGAAAAGAAGACGAGTTTCTCAAAATTCAAATTCTTATCAAGAAATGGAAGTAAATTCAGTCTCAAAAATATCGCTATTACAACTAATTTCTATAAGTTATTGAGATACCCAAAAAGTAAAACGCTTGCACCTGGCTAATCATCTCGTTTTTAAATCAACATCGATAAATCGGAGAAAGTTTTGTGGAAAAAAACACACACACAAATGCTTGTTCAATGATTCTTCGCAAACTCAATCAAACTGTTATAAGAACTGGATACTTCCTGTAGGTTTTTCAAGTTAAAAAAAGTTGTATCTCAATAATTGTAAACCCAAAATTCTTCCTCTCTACAGTTTTTCCTTGAATAATATTGTATTGTATTTCATTATTCATTATCATTTGAAGAATGCGTGTAATGTCATTTTGCACTCATCTTTCATCTCAACATGTCGACACTGAGTTAATAATTCTATCAGTCAATCGACTAATAGATGTAGAATATAAGAAATCAAAATTAATAGAACTATATTGTGTATTTTTCATACTATGTACTATACCAGTTCTATTACATATATATCAAATATTTTCTCTTACCATAATTATTTCGATAATTTCCACGATCAGAAAAAGTTCGTCCACTATAATGAGATATGTTTCATTTTTTCACAAAATATATATATAAACATCAACATCATATGTGTAAATAAATCCAGACGTCTACAGGTTTTTTATTCTATATATTTCAATTTAATGCATGTATGTGTAGTTCAACAAATTTCAGTAGATATAAAATATAATCATCAACATTGAGATAGATTGAAACAAAAAAACTCATCTACGTATGTGTTAACCCTATAAAATTGCGTTGCCTCTTCAAATGGAGAAAAACTCTAGAAAGCGAATAGCATCTAGCATGAATTTAACCATCAACAACCCTGATTCACTCTTATAGCGGGTCTCACAAGATTGCTTTTTCAATATTAGAACATATGCTGGTTGCTGTTTAAAGAATAAAGAGTAAAATTGAAGCACATAAACAAATTCTGAATTCCTTATAAGAAATAAACAAATCTAAGCAACGAGAGTGAAAAATTTCCTGTCAGACACTACCAGCAAATTTCGTGTACTGTGCTTCGATAATAAAATAATCTTAAACCCGATTTCAATACCTTTTACTATATTATCTCAGTCGTATAAGCATAGCAGTCTAAACTTTTTCGAAAATTCTAATCAATGAAATGTTTTCACATCACTGGCATAACTGAGAGAAAATTGAAGCAGAAATGATAACTAGACATCTCTATGCCCCTTAAGTTTGAAGAGAACGTACGATTAAGCGCATTATCCAGTTTAGTTTGTCTGAGCTTTCCAGTCACCTCATTTTCGCTTAGATATTCAAAAGTAAATCAGTAATCAATGATGATCTATCGTAAGTTTACAGAAATTCATTAGTGAGCTACTCTTTTGCTATATGATTATACTACGTTTTGATTGAACAACTTCTACACACACACATCCGCGCTTGCACAGGTAAAGTGAATAGCACGAATATCTTACCCAGATCCTCCGCCTGAACGATCGTTATCATATGAACGATATCCTCCACCTCCACGCCCTAAAATAATACATTATCAAACTTTTCACTGCAAATTAAACAAACGTTTCTCATATACATACCTCCTCCTCTGGATGATCCACCATCACCATATCTATTCGATGAATATGAATCCGAATTATCTCCTCCGTAATCTGCCATGATTGTTGTATTTAAATCTAGTCGATTTCGTAACAAAACTTTCAATATCTTACTCTGCCTACGATGGAAATGTAATGATGATAGTTATCGTATCAGCTTTTACCGTACTTTCGTTTACACAAAGACTCCTCAATACACATAAAAACAGGTTCGTCAAATGAGCAATACTAAATGATGACAAAAGACTTTGTAAACAAAAACAGTAATTTCCTGCTAAATTTTTCATTGTTTTTTATGGAAACTTTTTCTGTTTAAAAATTTAAACATTTTACGAAAATTTGTGAGAGTGACAGAGTCATCATAGAGGCTAGTGTCAGTAGTAACGAATTTGGCGCCACTGTACTGAGCAGAAAGTATGAAGTGAGAAAATTTAGAAAACTAAAACTATACTCTCGTCCCGTGCTTAAATGAGCGATAGAATTATATCCTCTGAACCACAGACAGCAGAGCCACGAGACTCGACAGGCTTACGCCTCACTAAGTTTTACTCCTAACCCAGAGAACGTACTTGGGACCAAGTACTTGGACTAAGTATTTCGTCTGCGAAATGAAGCCGATACTTGCCTTTTTTCCAGAAGTAAATTTACTTGTAAGTACTTTTTCTTACTTGCCAAGTACTTTCAGAAAGTACTTCTTAGTAATAAGGCAAGTATTTCGATCATTGGCAAGTACTTAGCAAGTAATCAAGCACTTGCAGCAAGTACGGTCTCTAGGGTTGTGTCCAAGTACTCCGCTTGTGTAATGAAGCCGATACTTGTCCTTTTTCCAGAAGTAAATTTACTTGTAAGTACTAGTCCAGCATGCAAGTACTTGATTTTTCGCTTGACAAGCACTTGTTCAAGCGCTTGTCAAGTAAAATTGCAAGTACTTGGATTGTTTTCAAGGTAATATTATTCGAGTGTTTCTCTGTTGCCGCTTAATATTCACTTTGTGAACTTAGATTATTCTATGTCTGAAGTCCACAAAGAAAACACGTTTTCCTAAGCATAGGTATAGTATTCATGTAAATAGATAGGGGCGAGCGATCCTAACCTGTCTTATCCAAGCAACTCCTGATTTTAACCCTATTTTTAGTTTATATCTGCTTTTTAGCTTTTCTAAAGCAGAACTAAAGCATTATGTTCCCGAAGAGAAAACCGGGTAAAACATGGTGAAATCAGTATGCCAATTACCTTAAGAAACACTTAATTTTGAGAGATCTCGTATTAAAAGTTTTTCTTTTCACTCTTTTTTATATAGAAATCGCTACATAAGAGTTCACCACCGTTAAGATAAATTGTTTGTTGGATTTCGAAATATAAAATGTTCGATTAACTCTTTTTAAAAATGATGTTTTGATGAAACTGAAAAACTAAAAATGATGTTTCCCGAAACCAAATGCGTTTAGGAAAAAAACACTTCGCTCTTCCTAAAAAAACCTTTTTAGTTTTTTGGTCAAACAGAAAGACCCTTTTGGTTTTTAAATAGGCTTTTTTCGGTTTAGGATGATAAAAGCTCTTACTTGCCAAGGACTTTCACAAAGTATTTCTTAGCAATAAAAACAAGTATTTTTATCATTGACAAGTACTTCTGAAAGTGCATGGCAAGTGAGAAATTTTGAAAACACTTGCCAATTTTTCCAAGTACTTACCAAGTACTCGCATCAAGCACACTCTCTAGGGTACGAGGCCCAGCTCTAGGTTGGTTTCTAGAAAAAAATTAATTTTTTTTTGCTGAAGACTTATGAATTTTAGATATTCAGAAAGAAAAGCTTCTACATGAGTGAAGTATATCTTAGCCAACATCGTAACCATGAAGCTTTTGTGAAAACTTCCAAGGACTTGTCCGTTTTCCGAAGAAAATGGAAGTTTGAGGTTTAAGTTTATCGAGAGTTTCTAGAAGAAAATGATCAGATCAAATCTTCCGTTAATTTGTGTATATTTTGGTGTTTACAACTCCTGAAAATGGTGTTTACAAACCCTGAATTCGTAGTTTTCTTCCCTTAAAATATGGTCTCCTTTTTTAAGTAACTTCGATGTTACAATGTTATCCTACACATGTATTGTATCGGTAAAATGTCACCTTACTAAGACCTCTCATGTATATAAATTACAAATTACAAATTTTGATTTTCTTTAAATTTTTTTTTCCTTTTGTAAAAACTTCTAAGGACTTGTCAATTTCTGAAGGAAATGGAAGTTTGAGGTTTAAACCAGCGATGCAACCAAAAAACGGGCCGATCAAATCTTAAGATGGATTCGACCCCATTGGCCGTTTATAATGTCTTAAAATGACGTTCATATTGTCTTAAATTTGACTGATGTCATTCACATCGTCTTACTGCGAATTATTTACAACGTCTTAAAATGGCGTTTACAACGGCGGACAATGACGTTTATATAATGATAATGTGTAAAGTTTTCACATTTTTGCTGCACAGGAGCAACGCTGACAAGGTTTTTTATCTTTTTAAATTTAAGATAGCCTGCGAAAAATCAATCCATACTATTAAGATAAGAATTTTTCTAACATTCGTACTACCTTCGAGCAGAAAGGAAATATTGAGTCTCACTAAGTTTCAAGAGGCTCCGCCGCCTATGCTCTAAATCTCCCGAACTCAAGTTTCCTTGTTAAAAACAACTGATCAGTCGAAGTATTTCAGAGATGGCCTGACGAATTTGAAATCGTGGAGGCGAAGTCCATAGAACGCAAGAAAAAAAGATTTTTCGGCTATGTGAAAAAGAAAATTTTTAGATTCTATGGGAATGCGGTCCTCACGACCCATATGGTTTCGTTGGAACGATAAACTGGTTATGGATAGCTTTTTTGAGATAAGAAGTATCGTCGAAATTAATTCTATATCCTGATAAAGATTTTGAAAGTTTTTAAACTGACAGTTAGCCGTGCTTGTTAAAAACAAATTTCACATCGGTTTTTGCTGTAAGTAGAGCACCTTCATCATGTCATGAGAATAAACACAGGTGACATCTTTTTCAAATTATGTATAACCAAATGTTTCAAGCTCAATACCCATTCTTAATATCGCGCAACTACAAGATGAAATTAATTGGTAGGACTATCAGATGAAGAAGTTAAATATTTTTATAGGCTATATTGTCTGTAGAACTCTGATTGCATGCCAAATACATGAGAATTATCACAAAAGCATTGCTCTGTCCTCTTCTTTAGTTTTCTTCGAATTGTAAATATCTAAATGAGTTTATACCTAAAAACGATTCATGAAGTGATACCTTCTATGTGAATATAATATATTTCAATGATTTTTGTTTAATTTGTAGGTAGAAGTATTTTACTTCTTGTATTTGTTATCAACTATTCGTCTGGAAGCTTGGTTCCAATTGAACGTGAAGATGATACAACCATTGCTGTTCTACTAACAACTTCCAGTCCACAAACAATTACAGTCACACCAACAAGACCTAATACAACAGTATGATAATTTTCACTATTTGAGTTGACCTCTATTTTTAGTAGTATACATATTTTCAGATATGCTTTGATATTGTTGGCTGTTTTAATAACAATGACCCATTTAATAATGCCAATAATGAATTACCACAATCTCCTGATTTTATAAATACACATTTTTTACTCTATACCAGTCTTGATGAAACAATTCCAGAAATTTTAAATTATACCGATGATTCAACGATTAAAAATTCAAAAATAAATCCTAGTTTACCATTTCGAATTATTGTTCATGGTTTCACTAATAATCGTGATTCAGCCTGGATTTCACCCTTGAGACAAGAACTTTTCAAAAAGGTACAGATAAACTCAAGCTGATAGTACATACATTTTACATTACTTCTACAATAATCTCAAATTTAACAATTCATAATTTTATAGGATCCATGCAATGTACTCGTTGTCGACTGGGAGCATGGTGCTAAATTTCCCTTTTATCAAAATGCAGTGGCGAATACCAGACTGGTTGGAAAACAACTTGCATTATTGATAAAAAAAATACACGATATATCTGGTTTAGCGTTTGATAATGTTCATTGCATTGGTAGGATAATTACGAGATATGTGTTTCTACATTCATTCACAACGTTTTAATTTTTTTAGGACATAGTCTCGGTTCTCACATCTGCGGTTATGCATCAAATCCTGACGATAATTCAAATGATGACACTAAATTTGGAAGGATATCTGGTTTAGATCCTGCAGGTCCATTTTTTGAAGGAAAAAACAAAGCGGTTCGCTTAGACAAAGGCGATGCAAAATTTGTCGATAGTATTCATACAAATACGGAAGTTGCATTCGGTCTTGGTCTCGGAATGAAAGAAGCGTGCGGACACATTGATTTCTATGCAAATGGTGGCACAAGTCAACCGGGTTGTCCCTCAATGTAGGATTGCTATTGATAATATTCGATAAGGTCAACGATTGTCTTATGCATCGTTTTTTTTAGTGGTAATTTAATTTCAAGTGTATTAGGTGGTCAAAGTGAAAGTAGGTCATTTTACACGAGAAAATACACAAGGTTTAATATAAGCTATATTTTCAAATTCTAGGTGCATATGAGCAGAGTTCATGTTCACATGGTAAATATAGCTTTTTATTTCGATTTCATTAAGATCTAATTTTTTTCATGTGTATAGGTAGAGCGCATGGTTACTTTATTGAATCAATAAAGTAAGATCTTCAATGCCGGCCTTATACACAGATTAATATATTATTTATATTGAATTTTTATTCTAGTGCCAAATGTCCTTATACAGCTTTTCCTTGCCATGATTATGTATGTTTGGATTTTGTATTAATAGAGTAACTGTAAAACAGTTTTGGGGTTATTTTTAGAAAAGTTTTATTGAAGGAAAATGTATTGATCCGCCCTGTAGTGGAACTGGTTGTGGTTATATGGGTTTTACATCTCCTTTTTCAAACGGACGTGGTACTATGTATCTAAATACAAGGAGCACTTATCCATTTTGTGGTGAGCAATAGTTCAAATCCAAAACTTATAAGTACGGATCTGAGTTCTATCAAGTATATGGTTTTTTTCTTCTTATATACAGGATATCATTACTATTTGGAACTATATTTGGAGCGTGACATGGCCAAAACTGCTGGTCAAATAGTGGTTGAGATATACAATACCTATGGATCTATCGGCAATATTACTATGAACTCGTATGAACTACTATTTCAAAAACCTTGTATTCATATCACTATTACTCGTAGATATCTGTACATACGCTTTCTTCGGACCCATCATCCATCTTTATGTCTATAAACTTCGACAATGATATCCCATGCTCATGCCTATGGGTACACGCACACACAGTGGGCATTTTTTCAATAGCAGGTAGCATCAGAAGTTTTTGCAAGACAAATACGATATCCAGCTTAACGATCGATGGTTAAAAAATAGAAAAGTAAAAGTCGACTTTTTTTCCAAATATCCACGTAGATGCCCATTGTGACACGTGACCATGAGTAGAGTATGACAGCAGATATCTACTGCTAACATATCAATTCAGTGGAGAAATTTTAAAAGCGTGTTCGGTCAAAACTGATTGCAGAGTCAGACTCTCCATAGTCGATTATCCTGTACGCAACAAGTGTTGAATCGGGTACTCCAGAAAAAATTTTCTCCATTGTTTTGCGAAAGAATTTTTTACGAAGTTCCTGAAGAGGAGGATCACGGGCTGAATGACACTGAGAAATTCTTCTAGAGTACCCCGATTTTAAACTTGTTGCGTACAAGGTAACCGACTATGGAGAGTCCAAATCTGCAGTCAGTTTTGGCCGAACGTGCTTTTAAAATTTCGCTACCAAATTGATATGAGAAATTCATTAATAACGAATTTTAAAATACCAGACGGTGTAGCATATCAATGTGAAGAAAAAATAAAGTTCATGCAGAATCGCGGAAAAGTTTTTCTAACTTTTGATAATAGCCCTCGTCAAAAATAAATGTTCTGGATTATCGAGTGTACTGAATACGAAAAACCACTTTTCCGCGACTCGAAATGAAGTTTATGTTTCTGTCGGGGGTAGGTAGTTAGGAAGATGAACGAAAATCACAGTCTGTAATTTGACATAAACAAAAACGCTTAACCATATGACTTTTTGTCCTATGTATATGGGGTAATGGGCATAACCATAGATGTCTAATTATCAGTCTATTTTGATGGCATTATTTTATAGGGCAAATGAAGATATCAGAGCTGGCGACATCATTCGACAAGTTTTCAATTATAATGATGACCTTGGAGAACTAGATTATGTTATAATCTATTTTATCAAAAAACGAGCACCTCTTTGGGGAGCAGACAAAAATGAGAATCAAATCATCATCTCAAAGATCAAACTAAAAGCAATGGAATATACCAAAGTGTAAGTCAAAAGACAAAAAATTATATTCTAGTGAATATACGCGATCCAAGTACTCTGAAAATTTATCAAATATTTCCTGACTTCTTGCAATGATCTATTACTTTGAACAGTGTTTCAATACTACTTACAAAATTTTGCTTTGAAGACTTTTTCTATCTTTTAACGTCAGAATTCATCATATTTTGATTTCTAACTTTGTGATCGTCCAGAATAGAATAAAGCAAGTTCACAAAGTAAATGTTAAGCTACAATGCGCATTTGCATAATACTAACTAGGCAAGTATCGGTTTCTTTACGTCACCGAAGTACTTTTCAAAATGCACGGGTACAACTATATTCACTAGGATATCATCGTACTTCTACATTTTATCACAATAAACTCACGTCTTTCTTATATTTTTTATTTAGTTATTCCATGTGTGAGCAAAACTTAGTGGCTAAAGCGCATATACCTGTAATACAATTACTACGTCCAAATGTTGATTGTTAACATCGATAATCGTGATTAAATGCTCATGCAGAAATAAGAAATTTTTGTTAGCTTTTAAAGTTTGGTTATTCACAATGCTTTGTAATAAATGATCACAAGAGAGAATAGCAATACTATATAAGTCCATTATTGTATAGTATAAAACCTTTTTGTTTTTTATTAGAAAACTATTTATTAACGATGACACTTAACAGAAAATGAAAAAAAATTACAAATGGTAAAGAAAAAGTGTGCACAAAATAGGTATTTTACGAGAAAAAAAAAACGAAGGAAAAAACTTGTGTAGTTGTACAATTGATTCCAACATTTCATAAGACAAGTAAAATAAAGTAGAGCGAATAAGAGACTATAGAAAATAAGTTACTCTCACGTTACTATAACAAAATACGTTTGAATATAAATCACGATGTTTCATCTAAATAAATTTCAAAACAAAAAGCGCCTATCCAAGTTGATGAAAAAAATTGACGCAATGTGAAAGGATGTTTATGCTTGTTTGATGAACAAAACTAGTTCCGAAATACACTTTCACGTATCACCGGATCGAACAAAATTAGGACGGACGTTCTTTTCACTTTCAATGGTTACCAAAGATGATGGGAGCAAAAAAATAGAAAGACTCGTCTACATTAGAACAAAACAGAAGAAACATATTATAAGTACCTGATAATGATGATGTAAAAAGCAGCAAGATCATTTCTGCAAATATGATCTCCATTGTTTAGACTTTGTACAACAAAAAAAAAAAAAAACCTGACAAGAAACGCAAAAGTCGAAACAAACAAAACAATCCAACAAAAACATTAGTATTTATTATTTATGAAAGACAAGTAAAGAAATATATGAACAAATCACCGGGGCAATAAATATAGATAAACTTTCTCCATAAGAGAGCGAACGTCAGAACAAAACAATTTATAACATGCTCAAATGCTGTCTTATTTTTGGTATTGGATGAGGTCGATCTTGAACAACATTGACATCTTCTCCTTTTCCTTCAATATTGACTGTTACCGAATAATCGACGGGCTGATTGCGATAGGCATGATCAAATACTTTTTTATTACGATTACTTTTATTCGTTGCATTCATTGACGATATTGCTGCTGTTTGAACGTAACCGTTATAAGAGAGAGGACGTTTTGAAATTTTATCGTTGGATTTTGAAACAGTGGGTAATAATTCAATGGTTGATGTTTTATCGCTATTAAAATTTGTAACAAATGACATAAATGACTGTTGAGATTGTAGCTTATTTAACTGACAGTCGTTTTTGCCTATAACAAAAAAACAAAAAGTAATTTATTAAATGACACGTACATAATAAACATCATAAAATGGATCTTTTTTTTATGCAATGAAAAATTTATCATCAGTACTTACGTGTAATAATCTTTGAATTTTCTTGATGTTTGTTCAAATCATTGTCAATGTACAAATTCCTATCATGATCATTTCTCAATTTGTATGGCGAACAATTTTCGTTATCATCAATATTGTCTGGATTCTTTTCCGTTTGAATAATTGGAAAATCGAGTGAACCATAGCCAGAAGACGGCGATTTTTCATTGGTTTTTTCATCTTTAATTACACTCGTTGAATTCACTACTGTTGTTGTTTCTTCACACATATTTGGTATATTATCATTCACATTATTCGAATCATTATAATTCAACCTCATTTCATCACAATCCGTTAATAATAAACATAATGTTGTTGGTGGTGTTGATGGACCAGCATTAAACATTTTTACTTGAGAACGTACAAGTCCGTCTTTAATCTCAATACCTTCTCGTTTGAATATATCTGTAGTTGAACCAGTAACGACGTTAGCTGCAGTATTATTGCTCGGCAATGTTAATAGAGATGGTTTGCGTTCAAAATCTAAATAAAAAATGAATAATTGTTTACTTAATAGTAAGAAAGCTACGAAAGATATTCGACTACGTCTGTCCACACTATAATTTAGTGTGTAAAAGCTTTAAATTTTGTTCTAATACAGGTTTGTTATTTTACATCAAATATTTCAGATAGAAAACAATGTAAAAGTATCTATTTTCTACGTCAATATTATTATACCTTGTGTAATTAAATGTACTTTTCTTGATCGTCTCAACGATTTCTGATTTTCGATATCGATTGAGTGTCGTTGTGAACTAGTATTAGTATTATTTTCATTTCTGCTATTAGTACGAGGCGATATACAACGCTTTTCATCTTTTAAACTGGAACATCGGCTAACACCACCAACTGTTAAACTTGTATTTAATTTTTTTTTCGGTGTTCTCATCGAACTTGTTCTCATTAACCAATAATGTTCGTCATCATCGTTACTATTGTAAACTTTATCTGAAGTTATCATTTCGTTTTCCTCACTTTTTTTACATTGTTCAACAGTAACCTATGTAAGAAAACAAAAGTGAAGGAGAAATATTCGAAAAAAAATACAAAAGTACCTCCTCATCATGTTTCTGTGATGTGTCTAAATTTTGTGGATGATTAGATAATACCACAGACTCTGATGATCTTGAAGAGGAACCGTCAGAGTTTGCACGTTTTTTATCAATGTTATCATCGCTCAAAAAAATTGTTTTTCGTTTGTTGGTTGAACAAATTGAGCACGATGAGTTGGATGATGTTGCTGTTGATAAACTAGGTGAAACTTGTTCTTCTTTATGTTCGACAGATTTCGAATGACGAAATTTAACAACGTTATTTTCATTATCGCCATATTGCAATTGAATTTCATCTTCAAGTGGCGTCCGTATCCAAAAATTATCATCTTTAAGAGTACGAATTAAAGGTTTCCCCGTTCGTTTTTCATTATCTATCTGTAGTTGTTGACTATCTTCTGAGTGTAATTCGTGACGGTTTGTATCAACAACTTGTAAAGGTGGTGAGGGTGGTACCAACAAGACATCAGATTCGACTTCAGTTGAATTATAATGATCATATGATTGTAATAAACGTTCAATTAAATACAATGAACCCAATTCATTTGTATAATCCGATTCTAAAAGATATATGCAGATATATTTCAAATCAAGAATTTTATTCATTCTAACTTGAGATAAACAACAACAGAGATATTTCAGTACGTAGAAAAGACTCCATGATCAAAATCGACATGGTTATAGGATTTTGCACATACTCTTCTTTCAGAATCATCACCCTCAAATATGATTACTACTCTAATTCAAGAGAAAATCACTTGGTTCAGTTAGCTCAGCTATGAGATGGTGTATTTGGAATGAGAGTACAAAGAAATTTACGAGATACGTACCGAATTTTTCTTGGGCTAGAATGGTAACCGTATTTGTAGGCGATGGTTCACGAATAATTGATGTGGTGGGAACGGTAATAGTTGAAATACTGATCACATTATTATCACTGTTTGATACTGTTAACGATGGTTTTTTAGTAATATCACCAAGTTTACTTCGAAATGTTTTACTAAAAGAGAATTATTAAAAGTGAATTGAATAAATAAACTTCAAATATAATTTCTTACTTTGCTGCTAATATTCCTTCATACACTTGTAATTGACTACGAAAACCTCCATTTGGATTAATACAACTTCGCCGTTTTTTAACGTGATCAAGTGCATCATTCAACGTATGACTATTTTCTTTCATTAAATAAGCTAATACCTAGAAAAATGAATGATAATGAGAAGTTTTAGTTTCATAAAGCGAGTTGAAATATGTTTACCGTTGAAGCTGAACGACTAATACCCATTTTACAATGAACAAGACATGCCTGATTATTAGTTCTATACGTAAAAAAAATTAAATTATAATTATTTAATACCAAAGATCTAATATTTATTTACTTTGCTTCATTAATAAATCGATATGTTTTTTCCCATTCTTTTAATAGATCCGCTTCATCATTATCATGTACACGTACATTAAGATATTTAAATTGCCCAGGAAAAAAATTATCAATTTCACGTGATACATTTAGAATATAACCAACACTATAGGAGAAAGATAAATAAATAAATAAAAATGAAATCTTATGTTCATTTATAAAACATCTTACTTATTTGCTTTTAATTCTTCAAAATTCGAAGCATTCCATTCTGATCCAAGATATAAATGTGATAATATCATTGTTGGTTTATCCATTTGTGCCAATATTTGTAGCATAACATCATCAATATATTGTTTGTACGAGGATAAATTCATTTGAAATGACTTTTCTAATTGTTCACGTAACTAAATATAATAAATTAAAATTATTTATTGAAAAAATTAACAAAAACGATTTACACTCAGATATAGCGCCGTAGCCAGCAGAGAAGGGATTGGGGGCGGTCCCTTGCGATTTTCAATAAAAGTGTTTCTCGGCTGAGAAAAATGGAAAATGCCTCAAAAGCCAGGGTTTTTTGGAAAACCTACTACTTCGTACAGGAAACTTTTGGCATTTTTTGGCAATCACTATAGATGCAGAGCATCAAGACGAACATTTTGGCGTAAAAATGAGTGAGATTAGACCTCCGCTAAGTCATGCATTTCGATTATACTGAGAACATCGTTTTCCTAGCGTTTTTCTTATATGGCCGGTTTTTTTATCGAATATTTCCGTGAGGAAAAGTCGTAGAATAAAAATTTTTGCTCCATTCGATAGCGCATCTAACGAAGTACCTCTGACTCTATTCAAATCACAAAACACCTTACTTTCGATTTTTGGCCAAATGTCCGTCTATATGCCCACCGTGCGCTCTCCCCCTTGACTTTTGAAAGTGATTTTTTTCCACTGAATCCCGTCAGAAAAAGTTGCTAATTGATAAGACTTCACACTATCTCTAAAGGCAAAATAGTCGATCCCCCCCTTTGCAAAAATTTTGGCTACGGGTCCTGTTCAGATAGTATGATAAAACTTACAAATTTTGATGTTACTTCATCAAGATCAACCATTAACATAATTTCTTTCAATTTAACGTGTATATGTTGACGAAACATTTCTTCATCTGACGATAATCTGACAAAAAAAGAAAAACAACTGTACTAGAGATTAAATTTAAACAAGTTAATAAAATATCATACGTCTGAAATAAATGTGGTGAATCTGATCGATGCGATAATATCTCATCCATTTGAAACCATTCATTAATACACATTTGATTTGACTGTAAATTTAAACTTCGATAGAATTCAATCCATGTATGTGTTAAACCACCGGCCATATAATTAAATAAACGTGCTTGAGTTGATGCTTTATGTAAACTTTGATAAGCCGACCTAATAAAATCAGAAATATTTTAAAATTATATTAAAAAAATATTCTATTTCTAAATAAGACATACCACATTGCTTGTACAGATACAGGTTTAAATATATGACGTCGATCATCAGATGTTAATTTAAAACCACTATAAAATCGAATAATTATATTTCTGATTTTTAATTAACTTAATAATCACATACCCATCACCATCCAAAGTAATATTCATATCAGCAAATATTGGTAAAATCATTCCAATTGTTACTTCGCTGGATGAAAAATCAAATCCTAAAATGGCGGATCTAAAGAAAGAAAAATGAACATAATAAAGAATCGAAGTTTTAAACTATTGAAGATAAACTTACTCTTCTGTATCTTGACGACCAATACATGAGACAATTACTAAATAACGAATATGATTAGGAAAGCCACTTTCGAGTTTAACTGCCTAAAATTATTCAATTACTCATAAACAAATAAAAATGACAATAATAAATAAGAGATCGAGAACAAACCAATGTTATTCGATCTTCCGGTCTTAAAATACTGAACATTTGTTGCAAATGTTGTTGTAAATGGGCTAGAAAAACAAACAATCAACGACTATACTATATTTTTTCTACTTTTTATTCTTACCAGCACTTCCAGTAACCGCCTTCGTTACAAGACATTCGTTTTTTGGCAAAACTAATGCAGCACCATTTATAGCAAAATAATGTTCACTAAAGCTAAAAATCAAGAATAAGAATCATAGTGTCTGAGCAATATAAATGAGAATTTCATTCTTGAAAAAATATTAAAATGGAAATATAAACTTTCTAATATAGAAAATTGTCAAGAACTTTTCCGTTTAACAAGTTAAATATTTTGTTTAGTTTTATTTTAAAGTCTTTTGATAAGTATTTTGGAAAAGATTTTAAATAAAACTCATTTTGATAAAACAAAAAAAATTTATATAAAAAAAATTATTTTTCTTTTGATGCAATTAAAACAACAATTATTGTTATTATTCTATTTTAACTCATTATGTATTTTTTATTGATTAAAAACACAGTCACCATTATAGAATTATCAAATATATGGGATATATGTTCTAAGCTTTCTTGCAAAATATTTTTTGTATCACTTTTTTTTCCTTCGCTTATTCTGTAAACTTTAAAATTTTTCTTCGTTGCGCTTTTTTTTTTTCTTTTTGCGTTAACAATTAATTATACAACAACAATATAAAAAGACTTTTCTTACTGACATTATAGAAGTTTTATTTTTTTTTATTCAATGAGAGAGAGGAGAAAAAGAAGGTTAAATACTTGCTCCTTTTGTCATTCACAAAAAAAAAAAAAATTATAATCAATACCATTATGAGAAGAAATCTTTAGTTTAAAAAACCTTGACAGAGAAATGTAAAGTTCCATATAAACGATTCAAGTTGAGGGCTAAGTGTCTGAGACGACAAAATTTAACTCCATTTTTATTGTAATTCTACATGTTCGAGTAAAACAATGCAGTTTACTAATTATTTTTGTGTCTATATGTTAAAAACGTACAATTTAGAAAAAGAATATATTCATTTGAGCTCGATCACATCAATTTCGATATTGACTATGAAAAACACGAGAAAAAGTAAATCAAGTTTCTTTTATTTTCTTATGATGGCTAAGTAAAACTATATTTTTTCCAAACATTTAAACGAAAAAAATAACATAATTTGAAAGATGTCAATCAGCACCTGACTGTACACATATACTCAAGTTAACTAGAATACAAACAATAGTCCAACAGTTTTCTGTTAATATGTGACCGTTGTTAATATTCATTTGTACCATAAAAATTTATCAATTTTCTAAGATGAGACAGTTCTTGATACTTTTTTACTTCATATTAACTATCACTTAAAAATTATATAATACTGCCACGAGATTCAATTTCTCTTTCTCTCTCTCTGAATTAGATCCGTTGACTAGCACGGCTATGTTTAAAAAATCTTATACAAACGTTTCTGTACACTAAAAGGTGATCTATTCGATGAAAATCGTGAGATACTCTCCTCAGAGTTAGATGAAAGGTCATTCATCAGTGAGACTTACCGAAAAGATTCGAGAATTTTTTGACCCACTATCACATAGCTGTAAAGTAGTTAGCCAAATTTCAAACATTAACGCAAACTATTTTGATATCTTGTTTAATTATTTGTCCTATTCTTTAATGGTGAAATAACAAAAAAAATGGAATAAGTCTTTTATTTGAATTTACTGTCTATCAGAATTTATTGATTTGTTCTTTCTCTTCTCTTAACCTTTTTAACACATAGAATAATTAAGAACAATTCTGTTCTAGATGACAGTCATCTATTAAGAGTAAAAAATGTTTTTGTGTGATACTTGAAGAAAACATATACAACATACATCGGTCAAGAGTACTCATTTTTTTCAAGTGACAAATCGATTTTTTTTTATTATTAAGTACGTGCTCATAAGTTATAGGAATATCTTGTGCCTCTTTGAATTTTTAAGTAGAGAAAAAACACAAAAATTTCAACAACTTCTTCATAGAATGAATATTTTTCCATTAAAATTGAGATCAAGAAAAAACAAGTAGATGTGCAAACTGCACAATTTAATCGTTCACAGATGAACACTCTAAGTTTTAATTATATAACAATGATAGATCCATTGGATCATCATAATTGTACTAACACACTTAGTAATCTACAACATACTATTCTTCTTTTTACATTAGAAATTCTGAATAACATTTCTACAATCATAAGTTTCATTTTTAGAATCAATATCAAACAAACGTATATGTTAACATATGAACAACCGAATTCTTGTAATTAATTAATCTCGAATTGATTTCTCTTCAAAAAGGAAGTTAGTTTAATAGGCTCAGAAATATTTTATTTTTTCCAGATGTGCACAGAATTCCAAAAAAATGTGAAATATCTGTTATGATAAAGGAGTCTGTTTTACGTTTACCTTCGTGGTCGCACCACATTGATGGAATGATTAACACCTGATATGACAGAACTTTCATCGTCCTAACAAGAGAAGAAAAATAATTCAAATTTTGAAATGTTATAACGGGAAAATATGAATCAATACATACTTGCAAACTCTGTTCGCTGATTGTTGGCGAACGCTGTATTGTTACCAACGCCATGGGATAAAAGTGAATGAACTTAAGAATGCATCATCTATAAGATAAAAAGAATTATTAACATTCAAGACACGTGTACGTCTGACTTGAACTCGTTTTTATACTTGAGAAGGAAAAATTGATCAACTCGATAAACGGGCTCAAGTCACTTTCGAGTTATTTTCATATAAAACGTTGCATTTTTATGAATATATACCTTATTCACATTTGTTACATACCATTGTAGTGGTTAACTGAATGAGTGTAGATGAGTGCTTAAAAAACTCGAAACGAAATGAAAGCTGATATTGAAAAAATAAATCACAGGAAATTAGATCTTTTAAAAGTGATTCGGGTCATTTCGAATGACGTTTTCCTACGACTTTGACTGGGACTCTAAAAGATAGTGACCAGCTTATCTGTGATCTGAATGTGTCAATACTTAAGGCAAACGTGTCTCCAAAATGAGAGAGAAAAGCATATATCTCCGCAGTAATAGAAGAACAAGTATAATTCTCAAAAGCTGATCTCTATTTGGATAAAACAGATGTATTGTACGATTGTAGAATTATACAATACTCAATAATATCTACAAAAAAACATTATATTTGGCTTAATAATAGAAAGATAGTTGGAAAGTCAAGAGATTCATGTCGAACCCTAATAATACACAATGAAATCGAGAATTCAACAGTCCTGTCATGTTTTGTTGCAAAGATCGAAAAGTTCTCTCTAACTCGAGGCCAAAAACACGTTGAACTAATAAATTCACTTTTACTTCTTGGAAAAGCGTGATAGTCGCACTCCTGCCAAAATATATCTTCAATATAGCTTTCACAAAAGATTCTTGTTCAAAACGTCTAGGAAAACGTGTTTAGAATAAATACCAAAAAAAGAATTTTTTTTTTGAAGAATTGCTATAACAAAATGGGAACAGTGTCACGATAAGAATGTAACAATGGATATCTTTCTCTGACAGTGGCACACTTTTACTATGACTTTTCGGAGGAGTGCTATTATTTTATAGCAAAAAAAAAGAATTATCAATCATTTAGCACAAAAAGATTCAATTGGCCGCGAACGAACTTGTCATTGTTGCTATGCATAGATGGCACTGGTGAGAATCTATGACAGTTGGGTCAATATCAGATGAAATGAAGGTGACATTTTACCTTTTATGGAAGACAGACAGATGTTGATGACGGTAAATGAGTAATTTTCATTTTAGCGTACGTATCTTGACTCGACAGTTATGCAAGATATTCTCTATATATAATTGAAGCAAACTCAAACATCTTACTCAAAAAAATTAGAAAAATTATCTCCTATTTTTAAGTTTTACACGATAATTTTTCGAGAATGAATAGTCAGTACGTTAATTAAAATAGCGACTTAGCTAACAACAGAATCCCAACACTCAAAATAAGATTTATACTTGTCGGGATGAATTCTTATTATTTTGTCTGCAATCCAAAATTTCTCTAAGTGTTATACAAACACTTTTTTTTTCCTATTTCATGGAAAAAGAATAAGTTCAACAATACTATATTCAAATATAAGAATAAAAAAGGGTTAACAACGTAGTAAACAGAAAAGTTTGTTCTCAGCCAGATATGACAAAAACAAAATTAACTTTATCGTTCTCAATTTTTTATGAAGCTTTCGTGAGTAAAAAAGTTTAGAAAGAAACCGTCTCAACAAAAAATGTATGCGATGGTTGAAAGAAAAACAAAACGAAATATGTAGAAGATTAACTGTAGAGTTATTATTCTTGGTTAAATATATTGTTCTTAAATTCATTGATATGTACTAGAAAAAAGAAAATGAGCAAGATATTTACTTTAGAAAAATTTTGTTGAACAAGTAACTTACATTAGATATTCTGCATAAGCTTGTGCATCGTGATACGTAACAAAAATGGTTTGCAATGTGCTACAACAATCAAAAACTGCATGTGTTTTGAAACGCTTGTATATGAGAAAAATCGAATAAAAAACTGCGTATAATAGCGACCGCTTCACTACAGATGAATGAAATGATCAACTAGTACAACAAATTACTCACTCGGTTGTTGTATCAAATCCAGGAGGAGGCACTCTCATCGACGCATTGCCTGGAGTACTTTTTCCCGTTAATACTCGAGCTAGAATACAAAACAAAAAAAGGATAATATTTGTCATGTTCAGCTCTATACAGTTAAACATACCCAAAAACATTCGACGAGTATTGGTTCGATCGGGTTTAGCAAAATTATGACTGTACGATGCACATTTCGCAAAATATGCACCACCACCAAATGCTGTACCTAAAAGAATAAATCAAAAATGTTAATCAGATGTTATGTAACTGTAAACCAATCAGATGATCATCTTTTTTTCACATGTTTAAAAACAAGAGCACAATGAAATGATAATAAAATCTTGTTCAAATTTATTTTTTGACTTATACGAAAAGTATCATATCGACAAGTTTCTAATGTACCGTTCTGTCTACTAGACTTAATAGTCGAAAAATATGCTTATAAATTAAATTGAATAAACTTCTAAAATAACTTTACTGAACTCCATCTTTTTTCTTAAAAATGATCACTAATATACCAGTGGCAGTGATGATTTATTGTATAGTTCTTTAAAATTAGTTGTTTCTTACCATTCACTCCGGCATGAGATCGATTAAAACATTCTTGTTGAATATTTTTTGCTGCTTGGTCTGAACAACCTATAAAACAAACGGCAGACCATCATGAATAAAGATAAAAGAATATGAACAAACAAAATTTTCTAACCATGAAACAGCCAAGTTTCCGTTGTTGCTCCTAACCGTTGTAAAAATTCTTCCTGATGTGCGGAATACTGTTTAAACCATCGTTGATTTTGAATTCTTTCAATTTGTAAAATTTGTGTATAAGGCATCTTATGCCCATTTACATTCATCATCGCTGGATGAGGCCCATTTAACACCATATTATTTACATGAGCTGGTACTGGTGGTCTTTGATTAGACATAATTCTGTTACGTCCACGTGGACGTGGGATTGGCTTGAAATTTGCTACAAATTGTGATCCGAACGGATTAATAGCCATTCCAGTTGGTTGTACATTAAAATTTGGTGTAGTATTATTCAAGAAAAACGGTTGAGGATTAACATTCATTACATTAGCATTCGTTGCAAAAATACCACCATTATTAGTTAACATTGGTGCATTTACAGATGTGGGTTGAACATTGTTTATCATCGCTCCTCCGACTCCTCTACCACTACCATCATCGTCAATAGTATTTTGATACAACTCGACCATTGTTTCCTGAAATTTGCCAAGTACAAATAAATATTCGGTTGATCCTTTTGATACTATAATTTTTGAAAAATTTTCCATTGTTGAGCGATCCCAATATTTGGGTAGTATTTTTTGACCTATCAATGTTAATTGTAAATTAGCTTCATCGTCAACCTATAAAAAATACCAAAATAGTAATAAAAATGTATCATGAGAGCTACTGAGAAGTCATATTTCGCTCTATATGGCAATACGTGTAAAAGATGTGTTTATAATTTGCGAGAACTATATGTATTAGTCTTCGTTTTACTATTTAATATTGAAAGATAGATTTTTTCAAAAGAAGGCTATAAATTATATGTTTTTCAATTATTGACATTCTTTACCTGTACTTGTCCATTATTTTGATTTTGAGTTCCATTACCATTTTGTAGTTGATTAATATGTGATTTATCAGATTCAAATAGTTTTCCTTGTTGATAGAGACGAACTTGTGCAATTTCTTGTTTTGTTAATAATAATTGTGATAAATCACCCTCATTCAATTCTTGTAAACACGATGGACATGATAAAATTTCATTTGCTTGACGTTGTTTTTGAATTGACTCAGAAAAACACCCATAACATGTTTTACAATTGCATGCATAAACAAAAATAGACTCGTATGCATGAAATTTCCTACATAATATGCATTCACAACGAGGACCATTATCAGAAACTGTAGTAGTTTCGGATTTAATCATCGGTATTATTGTTGTTGTTTGTTGTCTAACTGAACTTTGTACTTCATCATTTTGATCACTAAATCTTTTTGTAATGTCTTCAATCGATTTATTATTTTGATAGGTTTGATATTTTTCCAACATCTCATCAGAAACACGTAATTCTTTCAAATCATTATCTTGTAAATGATAGTCACATTTATGACATGTTAAGATTTGATTATTCAACATCTAAAAATAGATGCAGACAATTAGAATGAATTAAATATTTTAGCAGAACTAAACATACTTGATTATCAACATGTTTACTATAGCATTCAAAACATATTGGATGATTATGTACACAATAAACAATATGTATATCAGATGTTTGATGAACTTTTGTACAAGCATCACAGGTATTATAAGTGAAAGCTAAAGAGAAATAACTATTGTGCTGAAATTTTCTTAATTAAGTTAAACTTTTTTCGACAAAATCAGGTAATTCTTACAGGTTTCTTTTATAATTAAGATATCGAAATGAATTGAGCGCTTGACTAGTCCAGTCATAAAAATACATGTAATCTATCAATGTCTTACAATTACCACACTGTTATCTTTAAAATATTTTTCATTTGCAGAACCTTTTTCTCGATAAATGAGAACTTTAACAAACTCAGTATAGCAAAAATGAACAAATCAATTTTTCAATCACAGTAAGGAGCAGAAAATAGTCTTAAAACTAGTTTTGATTAACTTACGCATCGCCACATCGAATGATTCAATAATTTCATAGACATTAATCGTTGATTTGTTCCTCCGTTTTTCTTTAATAAATGCTTTCAATTGCATTTTATTAATATTAATTTGTTTAATATGATTATACAGAAAATTGACGAGTGTACTATCATCATCATTTGTACATTGAAGTGTATGTGTTCCAAATTGGCTAAATTCATAAGGACAAAAACATACTTCACATGGAATCATCATTCCTCTTCCAGTACATTCATTTAGATGTATATCAAATAAAATACTATCATAATATAGACTACATTTATCACATTTTAATCGTACATCTTGTTCAACTTCTTGTTCCTGTTTTACATTAAAATTATAAAGTTTAAGTAGTAACTGAATATCATATAATTCAATTGGTAAATAATTAATATCATCGATTGTCAATTGATAATTACAATAGTCAACGAGACATTTTGGACGCGTTGTCGATGCGATACACTGTTTTGTCATTTTAATAATACAACCTAAACAATACGTATGCTCAAATGTACAATTAAATTTTCTCAATAATTCAATATTATTCATTTGTTTTTTACAAGAATCACATGGAGTTGATTCCTCGGTTACTAATCGTACGGATGTTTTATTGTTCTCAATTATCGTTGACGACGATGATTGTGATTTATAATTTTTATTAGATAATAATAATGGTGAAGTATAATCGAAAAATGGAATCATATTCGGAATATTAGTCGAACTTTTATCGTCTTGATTTTGAGGAACAATAACAAATTGATAATTATCCATAGCTTTATTCTCCATATCCTTTTCATATTGAGTATTTTTGATAAAACTTGTGTCATAACATTGTAAATTTAATGTTCTTAAATCATTGTTGTTATAAACACGTTTTAATTTTAATGGTGATATTGGAATTTCTTTTGGAGCAATATCGTTCGTTTCATCATTCGATCTTTTTCGTTTGAATAGAATATCATTGTCATGATTTTTATTTTTGTTTTCAATTATAACTGTTCGATTATTTGTACCTGAAAATAAACAATGTAATAATAACGTATTATTTGTATCATACAAAGATAAAAAGGAAACGAGTTGCAGTTTTCACCGACACTAAATCTACGATAACAAAAAGCTTTAGCCGACTTCTTTTCTGTTTAGCAGCTATTTTTCAACATTATTTAGATTTAAAAAAGTAGTCTTATATTTCTCAAGTAGTTTCAAACTACTGACAAAGTAAATTTATCTATGTCGGAAAAACACTATCTAGCACATAAAAAATCCTACAACTCTATCCTTAATTAGTTTTTTTTCAAGTCTAAAAATCGTGCGCTTGAGGATGTTTTCATGAGTTTTATCTGTAGAATTTTTACCACAAAATAGTAGTTAAAAATAGAATCACCACTCTTCTTGTACATACTGAACCGGAAGCTTGAGAAAAATCTATATCTTTCTCTTATCTGATACACTTAATTTCATAAGCTATCAAATCAGAACGTTGATCTCTCAAAAACTTTTAGCTTCCAGTTAATAAAGAATACACAATATATACCTGTTGGCATTGTGGTACTTGCCGACGAAGAACTTTGTTGTGTCCACATGACTTTCTCCTATGAAGAGTTTGCAACCATGATAAAATGTTTAATGATGTTTATCAAATTTGAAAGATGAACTAAACAATCTGAAATTAGCAGCTATATAACAATAAATAGTTGACAGTAATTAAATAACTAAAGCCTCAAAACTTTTAGCTTAATATGTTGGTATCAGCTGTTATCTCTCAGTCGATTTTTTCTCCCATATTTTTTTTAATCATATATTGTGCTATAGTACATGCGAGAAAAAAAAAGGAAAAAAATGAATGAAGATGACAACGAAGAAGTTTATTCTTCTGATTGAATGTTGTCAACAGCCACTGGAAAACAAGTTATCAGCTGTAGAAAAAAAGGACTTTTCGAAAGCTTTTGCTGATATGCCATAAGAAGACTTTAATCTTACAGTTTTCTATAACTCCCAAATACTCATGAGGGATTTTTTCTAAGTACGTTGATTATAACGCCATCTCATGATGTCTCAGAGAGAATGTGAAGTGGAAATTTCCTTAGTACGATTTCTACACATATACACGTGCTGTGAAGAATCTACGTATAGACTCAAGCACTGATGCGGGGAAATCCCTTAGTGAATGTACTTGTTTGTTTGGCAAGCACTTAGTGAGTAATTAGAAAGATTGACGAGTATTTTTCATAATTCCTCGTTTGAAATCTAAATGAATTTTATTTTTCTCTTGGTGATACGACTTTTATACGTGCTTTTACAAGATTGCAATACTTAGTTTTATTACTATGCAGTACTTTGCGAAAGCACTTGCAATTTTACTCGATAAATACTTGTTAAGTCAAGCAAGTATTTACAAGTAAATTTCCTGGTGGAAAAAAGATAAGTAATGGCTTGATTATGCAAGTGAAGTACTAGTCGCAAGTACATTCATTCAATACGATACTCATTTGTCGAGAAAAGGTTGATGAAGATAAAAATTTGTAGTTGTTTCAACGACACAATTTTTCTTACGAGTTACAATTTTTCGTTTACAATTTTTTACAATTTTTACGAGTTTTAATTCTTACGAGTACACAATTTTTCTCGTTAGTTTCAAAGTCAGTCTTCACACATAATATTTCGTTCATAGATGATTCAAAACTTACGTCGTTCGAGTTTGAAAGTATTTTGACGTAATTACAGTCCGTTATTTTTGATTTTTGCTTTGTTTCTGATTTTCGTTTTCTGTATGTCAGGTAGTCACGAACACCTGACTCAGGAGTATTCTTTTCTTTCTTTATTTCTATATAAATTTGTCTTATACAGGACATGTTAGAATTCGTGTACAGTAGCAACATGGTCTACGAACCTGTAGCTGGGACACTACAATTTTAAAGATCGTTCCAAGTTTCGATGTCCGGAAACGGTCGTTGTAGTCCTTGGCTGATGAATTGCTAACATCTTAGTTTAATGTTAAGTACATGTAAGTAATTACTAACATCATGGTTTCCTAGATGGTATTTCTGTAACAAAACGAACAAATTTTACTTTTAGTAGGTGTCGACTTTATAACTGCTTATATGCAGCAACACTTAAAATAATAATTTGGGAAAAAAAAATTTTCAATTTCTGCTAAATAAAAGTTTGAAAATTTATGACATTCTTCATAACCACTTTACCTCTAAAACTTTCAGTAGATTTTGACTGTGTTTATTAGAAGGTAGTTTGTCATTATTTTGCATATTTCCAGTTGGTTATGTTCAAAACTTCTCTTGCATTTTATATTATTGGGTATCATTAGACCATAAAAACGTATTATCATATACATAGGAGTTTTTTACAGCCATCTCATTTCTTCATGCTGATACCAGTAAACTGTCGACTGTTCGATCACCAGTTTTGTCTACTTGACCAATTTTATTTCTAAAATAAACATATTATTCTTCACCATCTATGCTGAACAAAATGGTCGTCATTACTCATGTCGTTCAGTCAATTCAATAAAATGCTGAAGTCTATCGTTTAACGATAATATCGTCTGATCAGTCAACAATGTTCGTCTATTTAGACCAGAGACCGTCGCAGGGCAAATTTTTTCACTCTGTCCTGTCCTACCGCCCTGTCCTGTCAAAAAATTACTCATAAAATTTTTTTTCCCTGCCCCGTCTGGCTGGGCAGGACACCCTGCAGTGCAAAAGAAAGTTTTCCTCCTTAACCTGGCAGTCTTTATCTTCAAGAAACTCATCGCAAATACTGGATATGTTTCTCGTGCGTAACAGAATCTTTTTTTTATTAATTATCAATTTTAGAAAAGTTGGCTGTCATTTTTATTTTCATATATACGGAAGATCTCAAAATTTTACTTAAAAAGAAGCTTGAAAAGCTCCAAAATCAATCTCTCGCAGGGCAGGGCACTTTGATGGGCAACAGGGCAGCCCTGTCCTGCGATGGTCTTCCGATTTGGACCGTCGTCTCGTACATATTCAATCATTTTCGTTTTTGCATCTCTTCAACATAAGTCATGTCGATTATCATCAGACCGAGTTTCTTGAGACAAGCACCGTCTCTCTCGCTATCTGGCGATGGTACTATAAAAACGCCGTCACACAGTGAAAAAGACACTGAGACCCTTATCGTTCTTGTTACTACGTTTAATACGTGGATTCTGTCGATTCACACATTATGAAAGAGCCATCATTCATTAGTTAATCCATCGAGACTATCAAAATCTTGAGACGAAAAAGTTTAGTCATTATTTATTTCATGATATTAAGTGATACGAACCACCTAGAATAATTTTTAATCAGCATCATCATATTTCATTCATTGAATACTTTTTACAGCTGTGCTGGTGTAATGTACAAATCGCTGATAGAAATCGGATGAAATACTGATCACTCTCGTACGCAAAAAGAGGAAACATCATTCTATGGTTGAAAAATTATTCATGATACACCCACCTACCTATTAGGAACATACAATAGACAGTTTTCATCGAATAGAACAGAATCGGTCCACATATTTATCCATTATTGATAAATATGTAGCTGTTAATAAACGTACATTTTCTCTATTTTTAAATTTACTATAGAAAATACTTAATAAATAAACATAGCTATAAAAGGTGGGTAAATCAAGGCAAGCCCCATTGTATGCCCATGAGAAAAAAAACAGCAGATTAATCAAAATAAAATCCATTAAGAAAAAATTAGTCTACATCAAAGAAAATATTTTTACAAAAACGAAGATTGAGTGAGGTAGTGAGGTAGTGGCATGTGTGTATAATAGATGACAAAAGGAAGAGACACAAACTTAGTAATAAATACATTGATTCATGTATGCTAGTGGAACAAAAGAAGACAGCGTACATTTTCAACCGGTTCAGGAAGTTTGTGCATGACACCAAATAGCTATCCAACTGTTAACGATATGAATAAAAACTGCTGAAATGTTGTTTGAATAATGTTCATATTTGTCAATGAATTGTATATTATACTATCGTCAAAATAAATGTAATCATTTCATTTCAAATCGCTATTTTGTTATAAGCATTTATTGTCTCGCAATATCAAATTTTGATTTACATTAACAGAAGGGCGTTTAGTAGAAGAAAGAGTACCTTAGAATCGGCATACATGTAGCTGTAATTTCTTTCTGTGATGCTTGATACAATTCAAATTTGGTTGAACATATTTTGGTTTTCAAAGGTGATGTTTTATGCATCATTCGACGCACTTTCACACGCTGATTCCGAATATGCCATTGGTTTTGGTTGAAAACGTTTTTTAGATCGAGAAAATTAGATTTAACCTAACAAGCCGAAGTTTTCCGGAAAACCTCTACCAAAGTCCAGGAAAAGAATTACATAAAGTTGCACGCACCATAGATGCGATATATATATGGACGAACATTTTGGGACGATTTTGAACTGAATTAAAGGTCCGAAAAAGTTCCGAAACCCTTACACTGAACACATTGCTGAGAAAATAGGTTAGCTAGGCTCTTATTTTTTTTCCTCGAGTGTTTTTGATCAGGACCAAAAACCTTTTTTTACTAACATATAGTTTAAAGTGTATATGTTACAATGCAAATTAAAATTTGATGGAATTTAGAATTCCACTGGTAGATTAAAGTTTTAATCTCCACTAGTGGAAAATAACATGCAAATGTCTGCACATAGGCTAAAGCATGCATTCTCCATAAACTAGGCGTTGCAGTGCAAGATCGAGCTTACAGGCTTCTAGAACTGGATTAGAACATCCGAAGGCATTGCCAGATGTGAGAGTGAGTGACAAAACAACATAACGTACAAAGGCTAGATATACGAATCTGTCAGACCATATCACTTGGGATAGTGTTTTATCACTCACTCTTACATCTTGCAATACCCTCGAATGTTATAGCCCATGTATCAAAGTATATTTAGCCCTACTTGAATCTCTACTTGGATTGAGTTCACTTTCGATTTTCGGCGTCCTGTTGCACACTGTGCATCTCTACCATCAAAACTGAATTAATTTCATGTCAAACGATTTGAATATTCTAACTCTTTAGTTGAGATTTGTCTAGTTATTCTTTCTTTGCACTTGTCAATATACGAAAACGTTCATATTTTTTCCGCCTTCAATCATATAGATCCATACTCCTCTAGTTGGCCAATGTTAGGTTCTCCAAAGCATATAAGAGTGTAAAAGTGTGCCTTGAATTAAGTTATATGAACTTTAAAAGTTGACCGATTTGTTCTGTGCCAAATCCTGGTAACGGAACGGTATGTTGTAAAATAACATTCTGAAATATAGTTTAATTTCATCATAAATTATTAAGTAAAATTTCTATTTTTATCACCGTAAATTCAGCTTTACAATAACGATCTTCGTTATCATTTTATCCTTTATTGAAAGGAGACATAAAATCAATACTCGTGGTACCTTTGTATATGCATAAGCTCTCCGAATGTCTCTATTGCTATTTTGTTGATGTTAACAAATTGTTTTGTTTAAGAAAGTTAAATAAGTCCGAGAACATCTATGTACGTCAAAGTGCATTTGAATTTACGTATCCTGACGTTAATAAATCACATTTGGATTGGTTTGTCCACTTGCTCAATCTAACATTGTTGCTGTCCCAGAGCTTTGTTGAGCCGGTGTATCACCACCAAATTTCTCTGCTTGTAAAACAGAATCTTTTGATTCTGGTTTCGTTTTTTCTGTCAATATTTCTTTATCTTTGCTGGTTAATTTTTTCTGTTCAATTTCTTGATAATGTTGATTAACAGCACTATCCCTAGAAAATGATGTCAAAATTGAGAGTATCAGTGTGGAGAACAAAAATAATATTCTTCATTACTTTCTAACATTCTTACATTTTTTCCCTATTTCGATTTTATTTTTAATAAAATTGAACTGTATTATAAACCGTTGGAATATGATAAAATACCTTTTATTCTCGATTTTTCTCCCGTATTTATACGATAATAAAAAATAGAATGATTTTCTTCGAAAGGTTTTCCACTTTTTTACTAAAGTTGTAATTGAATTTTCTTTCTTATAATATTTTCTATAGGCTATAAAATACTACTACTATTTCTCGAATACGAATAACTCATGCAGCGTTGTAATTTTTTGAAACAGAAACTCCTTTTTTTCTTCTTATACTTTGATAAATGTCAAGAGTAGAACGATTAAACTACCTTGTTCTATGTCATAAGCAATTAACTGAATATATATATAAAGTTAAGTAAGAAACCAGTACTAGCCTATTAAATACATTTTCCACGAATTAATAATGACTGACTATATTGTTCAACTCTATTTCAGTTACAAATATGAAATGATAAAAACTAGCTTAGATGATTTGAATGGTAATATTTTAAGCAATAAAAAAACGAACTGAAACTTCTAAAATTGGTTGTTAAAAGTACAATTATGTATGCCATAAGTCATATTTACTTACCGGAAATTCATTTGAAAATAGGACGTGTATTTCAATTAACAAAAAAATATATGAATATACAAAAAGAAAAGAGTAAAAATAAATTTTAACGACTATCTGACAAATTACGAAACAGAAAAGAAAATGAGCTTCTTATGAAGCATCGATTTGATTTGTTGTCTCATCACCGGTTGGTAATAATTTAGAATGTAAAGCTGTAATTTTACGTAGTATATCACTAGCTTCACTGCGTACCTAAATAAGAAGAATAGAAAAAGATGAAATGTTTTTGAATGAAAATTAAATAAAATACAAACCTCTGGAAATTCTAAACATTTTCTTGCATACGCACAGGCTTGATCAAACTGATGTTTTTTCAAATGATAACTAGCTAAAAATTCGGCTGCTTGTGCAAATTCTTGAAAATTTTTAACCTAAAAGTAGAAGTTATGAATTAAATTATGTATTATCAATTTGATAAAATTAATTATACTTGTCTCATTTCTTGTGTACGAATAAATTCCATATAGGATCGTGCTGCACCTTCTTCATCTTTTAAATGATCACAGACGCTAAAAGTGAAAAAAAAGCAAATGATTATAATAAATAATAACCGTATTACTTTTGAACTATATACTGTGCATATTTTGCTAATGCATTTCCTTCAATATCACCGACACAATAAGCACGCCAATAACATTTTTTTGCTTCATTCATTTTTTGTGTTCGTTCATATATTTCTCCTAGAGCATTGGCATATCGCGAATCATTTGGTCTAATTGAAATCAAAAGAAGAAATTATAATACATAAATTAGAGTTTTTATATTGAACAATAATTACTTACTTAAGTGCAAAAGCTTCTTTAAAATAATACAATGCGTATGAATACATTTTGATAATTTCGTATGTTTCACCTAGACCGTACCATGCACGATGATCTTTTTTGTTTAAATCTAATGCTTCACGATAGGCATTAATGGCTGCCGCATGATTTTTTCCTTCAACAAATTCATGTCCTAATAGTATCCATGCAGCTGCATAATCAGGATTCATTCGTAATGCACGCGTAAAATATTGAATGGCACGAGCATGATCATTTCTTATACTATAAAAATTACCTTTAAAAGAAAATAGAAAATTTATCATATAAAAAAAGAAAAGAAGACTATTACTATTCAAATACATTACCGACGACAATACAAGTTTCAAAACGAAATTTTTCTATTTCAATACATTTTTGTGCAAGACCAGCAAGTGCATGATAATCTTCCTTTAAATAAAAAAAACACACCACACGTTGATAAGCGTTAACAAATAAATTGAAAAAGAAACTATAGAATCAACAGTATGATGTCAGGTTTATGCTTCTTCTTTTTCAATTAATCAATTTTTCCCATTCTATCGATGATATTGACAAATAGTCAAGAAAATCTATGATCATCAGTAAGTTGACCTACCAATACAAATAGTATATTTGAATAAACATCCATAGAATCAAGATTATACGGATCAATTGTACGAGCATCTTCACAACATGAACGAGCCAATTGTAGTTCTAAAATAGATAGTAGAAAACATGATTAATAATGGAATTTTTTTTTCTTATCATATTCCATGTCATTACCTGCACCATTTTCATACGCTTTAGCTTGTTGTAATAGAATATATGTTGAATTTTGAAAACCAATTATATTCAGTTCTTTGCATATAAATATGCATAATTCCGGTTTATGTAATTCAATATAACAACGTGCATAAAACACATTTCTTATCCAATGTTCGGGCAAATCCAAACTGTGAAGCTAAAGAAATAAATTTATTTTATCTAATAGATTTCGAAAATAATTTTTTGATCTTTACAAACTTTTTGTTCAGTGTCAATTAAATAAGCTAAATCTTCCCATGCGGACCACAAATGAGGAATTAATTGAACAGTTTTAATGAAATAAATTAATGCTTCGTTCAATAAACTTAAACGTTTGAGTACCAATGCATACCTAGAATTATTTGAATAAAATTTTAAAAATTTCTTTAATGTACTTTCTCTTACACATAGTAACCGTATCCGTCTAATGTTTCATTTTTTTCACTTGTTGTCAGTTCACATCGTAAGTTTATAAGCCAAGAATTATCGAGTGCTGCTTTTGCTACAATAAAAATATCAAAATGATGATTGATAGTCACAATAAACAACAACTATATCATACTTGTTGCTTGTCTTTGACTAACGGCTGTATCAGCTAAAAATGAGAAACTATTACACATATATCGAAAAATGAGTATGATCTACATTAAACTTACGAAAAACATCAACAAAATCGTCACATCTTTGTTTTAAACCGTCCTGAAATCATAGTCTTTTAATTTCGATTTTGACAGTAATTTTACTCTTTCTTACCAGATATAAAGAATAGACACGAAGAAAAAATCCGTATCCTGTGGTACACTGTTTCAAATGATGTGCACACCTTTTATATTCACGTAAATCAAAATAACATTTCGCCATCATATATATACTAGCAGATGTTCCCAATTCCTTAAAACAAATTCATTTAACGATTATTGTTATCATTTTTCTTTCATTCACACTCACACGTGAAGATATGTTGATATGAATTCCATCATTATCATCGTTATTATGTAACATTTCAGATTCATTCGATGTTGCTGCTGCTTTCGTTGATGATGTTATACAATTTAACATTTCACTGCACCTAAAAAAGTAAGAGATGAATAAATATTTTACACTAATAATTATAACAAACAATTCTAGTTTATTTTTTATACCATTTTCGACTATGTACTAGACCAACAAAATCAAGTTCACTAATAGCTTTTTTCAATTCTTCGACCACAGTTTTAGGATCAAATTGATAATAATTGACATCACTTTGTTCATCAAACGACATTGATAAGGATAACATTTTATTTTTGATGTTTTCTAAAAACGAAACGGGAACACATATTGAGACAACATTATACTTAGTGAACAATTATTCAACAGATTATTTTATGAACATTGTCTCTAGGATACACATGATATTTAAAGTATCTGCACTTCTCCAGTAAATAAATCTATGAATGTTCAATAATTTCTACGAAAAGTGAATGTCAGAGAATCGAGTCTGGTTCGGATCACACAAAAACTAATAAGTCTGTATCGGATTCGAGACAATATTCGGTGACCTGATTCAATCTCGAATGTATGATATTGATGAGTTTTAATGATTCATAACATGATCATTTAGTAACAACACGAATAAAAAATTTTATTCATAATGAACAGATAACTGATAACCAACAAGAGAAAATAACTGTATAACAAAAAAAAAAAGACACGAAAAAAAAAAACACGAGATAACAAATTTTAATAAAGTTTAAAAACAAAAACAATAACAGTATCGGAGCTCCCCTCCCTACTAAGTAAGAATGAACAGGTTCCCTATACGAAGTTGGAAGAACTTTGAGCGAATAATATGGAATAACAATAAAAAACAAACAAAGGCACATCTGTTATTATCATGTATAATTCCTAATTTTAACACGCAAGTACAAATTAGTAGACTAGAACGAACTGTTCAAAATTTAAGCACCAATCAATATATTATGACTACTATATAAACTGTTACAAAGATATATTACTTTTCAATGTTTCTTTCTTATTCGTCTGTCCAATCAGTGAGCCAAATAAATTCTTAAGTATTTCACGTCGTTCACGTTCTGTTAGTGGTTTTTTTGGTTCTGTTGAACATATTTTCATTTTATATGTTGTTAATAATTCGGTATTGAAATTTGGTATAGTTGTGATAAACAAATTATCAATAGATGGCGAATATTTATCATGCCATAATTCATAAATATGACCAATTAACGATAGTATATTTGTGATAAGACCTTCATTTTCACCATGTCGTTGTAATGATTTTAATAAACAGCTAAATAATAGTTTCACATCTAATATGACAATAGCATCTATTTTTGTTATATCATAATGTAATCTCATTAATGGAAGAATAATTGGTAGAAAACGATTAACACAATAGGCATCAGGAAATGTTAAACATTCAAATAGAATCTGTATAACAGAATTGAATAAATTTATACACGTACGATATGATGATGTTACATTTGGACCTAGAAAGAAAGAAATTATGTGAAACTTATAATCTATTTTGATACTAAATAATTGTTACAATCAGCATAGTATCATTTATTTCAGAAGTTTGTCAAACAAATTTCTCATTTAAATTATCTTGAACCTACCATTTCGACATATTTTACTTAAATGTAAAAATAAATCACTGTAGTCAATCTTCTCATTTGATATATTCAGTTGTTTATTTGTAAATTGTTCATTGTTATTATTATCAACAACATCATCTACGGTCGTATCGATATCATTGTCATCTAAATAACTCATTTCATGATTTCCATTTAATATTTTATTTGTTGTTGATGTTATTGTTGTTTTTCGTTGATTATCTTGTTTTTTATTATTAGTAATTGATATGATTGGTTTCAAAATAAAATGTCTTAATATATCAACAAAATCTCTTGTCAATAAAACACATAGACATTCTTCAATTACTTCATCCGAACAAGAATAATAGATCAATTGACTTTGTTGTGATTGCTGTTCATTTGATATTAAATTTTGCCACATTTGTCTTAAACGTTGTTGAATATACGGTAAAAATATGTCCAAAAACGATAGAAATAAATCATTTATTGATGATTGTTCTGTTTGAAATTCAGTTGTTAAAGAAAAATGCTCAATAAATGGACGACAAAAATGTTTTAATATAATTCGTAAACGAAATGGTGGTATTGTATTCAAATTTTCAAATATAATCGTTTGTAAAAATGAAGTTAAAAAATATTGTTCCTGTTGTTGTTCATTCAATTTGTTATCTGTTAATTCTCTTGTTTTCATCGAATATAAATCATGATCATAAACAAAATAACTACCTAATAATTGATAGGAAATATCAAATAAACGATGAATATAGTCATGTAATTGATGTTCAAATAAACGGTTTGACACTTTATCTTGTAGAGGCGATTGTCGTACAGCATGAAATGGATTATCAGATGGACTAGAAGAAATAAAGGATTTTACTGATGAATACACAAATAGACGGTCAAAAATCCGATATGAGAATGTTGTTGAATATCGCAAGTCAAAAATTGAAATTTGTTTAAATCTATGCATTTTATAATTAGAAGTGATTGTGTAAAATTTATTCTCAGAAAGAGTGAACTGTCTTGCAATCGTGCAACTATCTCACACTACTTTCAGTATCAAAATCTTTAAACAAACTACCTGAATGTTGTTGCTGTTATTGTTGTGACTGTTGCTTTTGTTATATTGTTACTTTCGTACGTGCCTAAATAGATTTGTTTTTCTGTTTCGCTAAATGATAGTAAACTTGTTTTGGTTAAATCATAAAAAGGATTTACATTTGGATCGTATAACTGATTACAATAGCGAATTATTTTTAACACAGAATCGAATAAAAATGGTCTTAAACTTAAAATAATTTTAGTTTTGAATAATATCGGTGTCTGATCTTGTTGATGTTTTGAGAATTTTAATATACAACACAAACAATGTAAACACAACATTAAACGTCGACGCCGCCAATGATAAACAGTTTCTTGCTCCTGGTTCGAATTTGTCTGACAAAAATCTAAACAAAAATAGGCAAATTCTGTTAAAAAACAAAAATTATTACAAAATACAGAAAAAAGATGGAAAATACTCTTATGGTGCTCCTATTTCAAATTTCTAAAACTGTTCACTTACTAAAATATTGAATGAAATTTGTTAGTGATGACAAGCAATTGTTTGAAAATTCATTCGATGATATAAATTCATAAATCGGTTTCAATAATTCATAAAAATAATTTATTTGTTCGTCATTTGCTGTGTCAATTGTCAATTTTTTATACATTAAACATAATGCTGAATCGAGTAATTTTAATATCGAACAATTATCATCAACATTCATGATTGTTGATGTTTTTATCGAACAGTGTTGAAATTCATTCTGAATCAATTGACACAAATAGGGATATAAATCAGAATAATAATCAATCAATTTTAACGTGTAATTTCTACATAAATATAGAAAAGCATTTGATGTTTGACTTTGTATTAAATCAGACGGATAATCACCTACTAAAAATAATAATAAAAAGACAGACGAGTTGAGATTACTAAAACTACATTATGTACTAAATCTTGTGGCAGACAACCACAAGGGAATACTGCAAGTATCCAATCATGTTCGTCTACAGGTATACTTGCCTAAGTGTAACTTTTGATATTTATCACAAATCTGACATCCGATTTTGCTCTTACAGCTTTCTTTTATGAATTTCTAGAGATTCGATTTCACAAACTCATCACCAACTTCCATTCGAAGAAATTTTGATATTCCGGGGTGTTCATTGGGGTATGAGACTATGTTATTGAAGATACTCGACCTCTCAAGTTTATATACTGATCCCAGTGAAAGATCCTTCGTTAGTCTTCAGAAATTGTCGACATGAACAATTCAACATGCTCTACAAATCGACTGTATCAGAATTCCTCTGAGTGGAAGTTGATGATGAGTTTATGAGATTGGATCTCTAGAAATTCATAGATGAAAGTCGTAAGAGCAAAACTGAAGTCGACGACAAATCATCAAAAGTATTTTCATCGACGATATTTCATCGAAAGATTTTTCATCGCAATATTTAATGTATGAACACGAATGCTGCATTTTTTTGACTAATAATCTTTACATTTTCAATATTTGTTTTCAGTTACATATTCATAATCATTAAAACGCAGTAAACATTTGCCTTTACCCTACGAAAGAATATTTTGTCGGCACTGGTTGTGCACGGATGCGCACCGGTACCGAATAATTTTTTTTCTGGGCATCGATGCGTATCGGTGCCAGAAAGAATGTAAAAATCTCGCACCAGTGCCGAAGTTTTGTTTTCAATCACCATTTTGTTTTGTCAATTTCTGTCTATATTAACACCACAGTCTACTCTTAATATTTCGAATGTCTTTCTGACTTCATCTTTTCCTTCTCACAAGAGAAGTGCCGAGCCAATGCCGCATGGTTTTGGCATGTCAATGTGGTATTAATCAGTGCCGCATTCTAATACAAAATTCAGCATAAACAACTGTAATAAAAAACTAATTAAAGTGATTAAATAAATTTCGATGCGGCACTGATTTTTACCGGTGCGGCACGTTTTGGGCAGAAATATATTGGCACTGGTGCCAATCGGTACTGGTTCGGCACTTGCTGGACATGGATGCGCACCGGTGCCCGTCAGTGCCAGTGACCGATGACATGCTATGTGCACCGGTGCGCACTGATTTTACCAGTGTCGCACTGGAATTTTTTTTATAGGGAGTTGTTGATAATAAACTGGCCATACTTATAATGAAATTTTACTCCGAAGAAAATTTAAGAAAGTGATAGAATATTTTGCTTTTGAACATAATACTCTCGTATAGAGAATCATATAAAAAGGGAGACAAAAAATATGACATGTGTACATATACTTCTTTATTAACTTTTTAAAAAACCTTTCTGTTCTTCTATGATCACGTTCAAATCGTACGACATTTTAAAGGCACTCTTTTCTCCTCTACTTTATATCTGTATTTCATTGTGTCACATGTCGGAGAATTAACTTACATTTCCTAAACTTTCCTTCAACTCAAGCTACTTACAGCCAGTATACTTTTATTTACTTTGTGGTTATCATTCACTTATCTAGTAAAATTCAATAGAACATCAATGGGACGAAATTTTGTTCGATGAAAAAGTTTTTGTGATGAAAAATCTTTTGATAAAATGCCGTTCAATGAAAATACTTTCGATGATTTATCATTACCGCGCAAAACCGGATGTCAGATTTGTGATAAATATCAAATGTTACACTTAAGCAAATATACTTGAAGAAGAACATAACTGGACACTTGGGGTAGTTCCCTCCTAGAGTTGGTCTTTCCTAGAGTATGGAAAAGTTTCATATTTGGACAATTTGATATTTTACCTAAAGATTGTTGTTGATAATGTTGATACGTCGTTAATAAACGTTGCAAAATTTGTATTATCAATGTCTGATCATAGTTTGTAACAAAAAACATCACTGACAAAATATTTAAAACATAGCCGTATATATTTTCATTCGTCGACGGTGTAAATTGCAAAAGATACTTTATTGTATATAAAAACTGTTCAATAAGATCAGGTTTCATTAATAACTGTTGTTGTTGAATAGCTAAATTATTATTGATATTTTGAGGAAATAGATGTTTACGTAGGACAAATAGAATATGATCAATTAACAAATAAAGTGATTCCCATTCATTAATAAGATAAGCTGTTATCACAGAAGATTGGTGATTGAGTTCAGTTGGTGTACGCTGTATTAAATTAATCAAATATTGCATCACATACTTCAAGATTGAATTTAAATAATTCATATTAGTTGACTGTTGTCCGTCCGATAGAATACCTAAAAACAAGAGATGAAAGTTTACCTTCAACATATATTCCTCTTCTACAATCTTCATGGCAGTATACACCAACAACTTTCACCCGTTTAACCTTACCTGTTGTTACAAAAATCATATCAGTAAACGCTTTAATTAATTTTTGTAATTCAAGTCGATATTGTGAAAAAGATTTCCAAAAAAATTGATCTTCCGAATCAAATTCAAACATAATATAACATAAACATTGTTGACTATGTTGGTATTGTTTTACAAAACATTCATTTGTGTTATTCACAATTGTAGATGATGGTAATGATAATGGAAAGTGAATACGCACCAATGATTGTTTTAAATTTTCAATTAATTTCAGACAAAGTTGTTCATTTAATAACAAATAAAATGGTGATGATTGTTTACTTATGAACATACTTAATGCTTGATAAGAATTTAATGATAATTGATGATATGGATGATCGTTTAATAAGAGAAGAAATTGAATAAACGATTTTATACGTTCCATTAAAAATGGCAAAAATTGTTCATTATCTATTGGTGTTCGTGATGTTAACTGTTGAAATAAATACAAAAGATGAGTAGTGATCTTTAATAAAAATTGACCAAGCATTTTAAGAAATGTTAAATATTCATTAGTTATTAATGTACGAAACTGTTCGATCATGGTGGCCGTTATCTGTAAAGGAGAAAACAACATTGAGAATAATCACTTAGAGAAATTTAACAAGTTTGATCGCATAAAAGTCCATTATCATTGGATATCTTTTAATCCTAATTTCTAAAAGTTTTCTACCATAAAACTTGTTTTTAGCCTATAGTGTATTTCACTAAGTAGATAATTTTTAGTTGTACCTCACTATCGGAATTATTATTATTGCACATGACTAATCGATAGAATAATTCCAATGTGTTATCATTCAATAAATAATTTATAAATATCTTTTCTTGTTCATACGAATATGTTGTTGTTGTTGTTGTGGTTGATGGTTTTTTATTTGTTCGTTGTCTGAGAAATCGACGATTGATAAAACTCAATAGACATTCGAATGCTGCATGTCTTAAACGAATTTGTTGAGTTAAATGAAAAAATTTCATTAATAATTCGATTAAATATGTTTCATATTGTTCAATTTGAGTATAATCGATCCATGATAAAAAACTGTTTAAACACAATAAACATGTTTCAATTAACCGATCACCATTTGGTACTTTCTCTTGACTATATAATAAGAGATCATTCAAAGTTTTCATTATTGACGGTAGAATATCGTTTAAACGTTTTTGTAATTGACTTAATAATTGTCGACGGCGTTGTGATGGAATTGATTGCTGATAAACGGTTAATTCTTCATTGAGAAAACGATATACTAATAAGATCAATTCTAACTGAATTAAATTACGATTACCAAATTCATCTAAATAATAACAACAACACTAACAATATAGAAGAGAGAAAAATTTTGACATAGCAAATGAAAATTGTACATACCGTTCATAGAAGTTTGTTGAGTTAATGTTATCAATTCTTCTAGCGGTGTATTTGTCTTTTCAAAACATTCTCGTTTAATCATCTCGACTGTACAACGTGCTAATGCCGTTCTAATATATATTGGTTCCATAAATGAATCATTGAGATTAGTTTTAATCAATGAAAATAATTGTTCTTCCAGCACATTTCTTTCATCTGGTTTCAAAGCCGACCATTTATATTTAATTATATTTTCTATTAGATGTATACCATAATGATGTAACAATGGTTGTTGTTGCTGTTTAATAAATTCAAATCCAATTGTACAACAGAGTAAAATATGATTTTCTTTTAAATTTTCTAAATATTCTAATGCTACATGTTTATCATTATTTGACGTTGATTGACTAAATGAACATAATACAGCACTAATAACTCGTTGAAATAAATCAGATGTAAATAATAGATTATCTTGTGTTTGTTTTTGTTGTGATAAAACTGATGGCGTAATCGATATTAGCTTTTTCATTGGCACCTAAATAATAAAGGATTATCAAAATGTATTAGGACTTAAAATCTACGAAAGAATTACAAACTCGATAATGATGATCGAGTGATAGTCAATATTCACAGTATTCTATTAGTATTTTCTCTTTCGCTGTTACACCTTTTTATTCGTTTCATTCAAAAGTATAACTCACTTGTTCTAAATTTGATGTATGACAATGGCTTCCATTCATCATTTCAAATCCGTTGTTCATTTTCTTACGGGTTTTTATTTTATCCACTAGAAATCAAATAAAACAATTCTGAAAAAAAATGAGACAATAGATAATAGAAAAAAATTACCGTATATATGTGGAAACCACTATTGTCACGTAACGTTTATTTGTTTTTTAATAAATTTTGATTTTTTTACTTGTCGTAAAGAACGACAGAGAGAAAAAATGTTCATTGATGTTCAATATTTTTCATTTTGTAAACATAAACTAACATCTGAAATCATAAATAATTCTCTCAGTATTTCACAATGATTCTTCATTGAATATTTTGCATGTGAAAATTTTATTGAAAGGCATAAAAAAAAAATGATATAAATGGCCATTATATTTACACAGCTGATGGAAATAAACCAAGGTTTTTTTTTTCTTGCTTTTTCTGATATTCTTTGTTTTGAAAAGAACCGATTCGATTATGAGAGGGCAAGGAAATAACAATTAGTATGTTTTGAAATAAAGATTAAATCTATTTTGAAATACACTAAAAACAGCATTCATAGAACTCATGTCGATCTTCTCAATATGAAACACATATTACATTTAATAGAAACAAATAAAGGATAAAAAAAAATATTTTTGAATATTAAGACAACATCATCATGCTGTGTTGAACATACTTTTTCTCTGGTTCCTCGTTTATATATAAGTAAAAGGAATGTGATGAAGGAATTTACGCACAATAACATAATTAAGATTAAATTTGCGCAGATTATCAATCGTGTGAAATAGTTGAATCAAATGAAAACAGTGATATTTATATTTAGTTAAATATACTTATGGAGTAATCACTATTTGATTTAAAAATAAAAATCGCTTATAAATGAATAAGATAGTTTACTTGAAAGAAAGAAAAAATTCATAGAAAGAATGTTATTTCGAACAAGGGAAACATATGAATAAATAAATTTCTCATTGTAAGCCTTGATTTTTGCGAATTATCTTGCTCTATAAATGAAACGTATAACGAAAAAAATATATATAAATGTTCATCTATAAACGATATTTATATTTAGTCAAATATAATTATAAACATGACAGTGTGCAGACTACTAATAATTTCACGGTAAAAAAGGTGCTTTCAACTAGTGTGTATAAACAATCATTCTTAGATTTTTTCAGTTATTCTTGATGAAAGGTTCAGTACGGTATGAAAGGTTCTCTTACAGCTATCTTACCGAACTAATCTTTCAAATAGGATTTACATCCAAAATTTAATCTCATGCAATACAAGGAAATATTAGTCAGGATGGATGTTCAGTACGCACAACTATTTTTCTTATAAATTACAATGATTTTACCTACTGGAAAAGTGTTTAGTAAATTACAACGTATTTAAGAGCATATTAGAAAAACTTTACAACTGTCCTGTGTAGAAGATCGCACATTGAGAGCTCGATAACAAGATGATGTTTTAATTACTCACCGTTCAACTCAAGTTTAGTAGCTTTTCGATAGAGCATTTATCTTGCCTTCTACAATACTGTACAGAGAGGAAGACAAAACGAACGGGAGAAGAAAATAGATTATGATAACCTCACTCGGTGTTGTGGGTTAAATATGGAGTCCTTCTAACGCCAATAAAAATATAGTAAAATCATGGCTCTGAAAATATAAAACAGTGCGATACAAGAGCAACATCGTGAAGCTATTCATTTGACTTTTCTATTAATAAGGCAAAATACGACACCTCTTCACAGTAAAATATAGAATAATCAACCCTTTATAGTCTATGGCTGATCGTTGGTTTATTCAATAGAACCAACCATATGAGATGTCGAGATGAGTAAGCATATATAGCCAGTTACTGATGTAAATAAACCAGGACAGAGAAAACGTCTAATCCTTTTCTGATTGTATTGATTTCTGAACTTGGGGAAAGAAAAAACACTTTATAATTGAAGACTATAGAAAAATTCGCTTTTGTATTCAACTTTCAAGAGATTTTCGTCGACAGATATCCGTTCGGCTAAAGAACACCTTTCAGTGGAATAGCAAACGTGTAAACCATAGTAGTACCAATACACCAAAACAACTAGAGAACATGTTAACATTGAATGTAGGAAATAGACATGGGCAGAAAGAACGTTTTTCAGTCCCGGTCTTGTTAAAAAATTAATTTCCTCCCGGTTCCGGAAACTTTTGATGTGCCGGAGAAAACACTTTATTAATAAAGTTTGCATGACGTAGATGTGAAATTCAATGGCTAGGAACGAACTGTAAGACTTCTTGACGATTTTCCACAACGTTTTTATTTTAGTATAGAGAACAGGTCAAGTTTTAGCTGATTTTATGCAACTGTCGAAACACATATTAGTTCTAATGTTGTTCCCGGTCCGGCCCCGATCCCGTTAAAAAATATTTTTCGTCTCGGCCCCGCTCATGTCTAGTAGGAAAATATTATTTTAAAAGATTCACACAACTTTCTTCAAGATCTTTCGCCTGCAACTTTAGGCACAGTCGATTTTGTATTTGACATTATAGATAATTGTTTTTTCGAGAAAATTTCATCAGCTCAGTACATTAAACTTTTTTTTTTATAAAAACAGATTTATAACAAAGAAAAATCATCTCTGATTTGATATGACATTCAATGTTCCGCTCCTGCAACTGAACATCATGTGGCTTATCAGTCGTCATGACCGTTTTGTATACTCTGTTCATTTAACGAATTCCTTTTAGATAAAGTAACGGTGATTTTTTAAGAAATGCATTGGTAATTATTAATTTTAACCCATAGAATAATGAAACTTTTTACTCATAGATTTGACATGACATGAAATATTTCTCTTATTTTTTAAATTTTTACCGAAATCAAAATAATTAAATGACTAATTGGAATCATAATCGTCTGGATGAGGAAATAGACGATATTAATGAAGATGCATTTGATGATGAAACAGACAGAATAGTAAATAATCAGTCAAGAGATTCTGTCAAATTGCGTAGAACAGGTAAATACACAGTTTAAAAATAGTTTGATTGAAGATGTACTTTATTTTAATATTTTTTTTGATTTCTTAGTCTTCAATCACATTGTGTTAGTCTTTTATTCTAGAGTCAACAAATAATCCAGTTCTTCATCGAGCATTATCTACAGTATCAGCAAATCAATCGCTTGTATTTAATCAACGTACAACAATCGCCAAAAATTTTCGACGAAGTAGTGTCAACGATCAAATTGTTACCATCAATCATGTGGAAGCTGATGCCTCATTTGTGCTAACCGATTTAAACTCATTAAAAGAGGAAATACGCACGCGTGTTATGGATAGTTTAGTTGATCAACCAACAATGACGGCATTAGAAGAAACAAGTAAATTTTTCTATTTGTTTTTCAATTATTTGTATGCTGTTGTTACACGAATGGAATATATTTTTTTAGAACGTTTAAACTGGTGGTGCTCAAACAAATTACAGTGTCCTAAACTTTATCCATTATTAACAAGTGGAGATGGCAATTGTTTGTTACATGCAACATCTTTGGGTATGATTTAAAGGGAGTCCTATGTTTTTCTTTTTTTTGATTTTTTTCCAATTGCTTTAGCTATGTGGGGATTTCAAGATAGATCTCTAGTTATGCGGAAAGCGCTGAATGAAACATTGATCACATCAAAGCCGAATAATTCTTTGTATCGGAGATGGCGATGGGCACAGTCTGTTCAAAACAAAAAAGTGTGTAGAATACTTTTTTTCATAAACTAAGAGTTATCTACATTCTTTTCTCTTAGTATGGTTTGGTATTTTCTGAAGAAGAATGGGATTCTGAATGGAAAAGTTTGTTAAAACTATCCTCGACTGAACCAAGAACATACCAGTGTAAAACATCAAATTCAACTGCAAATAATAATTCAAACGTTTTTGATGAGTATGTTCAAAATTCAATTTTTCATTTTTTTAATTCAAAATTTTTTTGTTTCTTTAGTTCAAATCGTAATCCGAAGTTACCAAATACAACGACTACAACAACATCAAATGTGATTACGTCTTATACACCATCGTCTATGACGAACACGACAACAACCCAATCAACATCGACCAATAAAACATCACCATCAACTACAGTAAACAATAATGTCAAACAATATTATGAAAGTTTAGAAGAAATGCACGTTTATGTACTAGCTAATAATATAAGACGCCCAATTATTGTTTATTCCGATACGATTTTACGTGATCATTCCGGCGAGGCAGTTTCGCCTATAAATTTCGGTGGCATTTATTTTCCGCTAGAAATTCCTCCTGAAAAATGTTATCAGTCACCCGTGTTTCTCGCGTTTGACGCAGCTCATTTTAGTGCTTTGGTACCAATGGAACAAAATAGTAAAATGAAATGTAAGTATTATGAATATAGTTTTAGTTTTTAATCTAAAAAGGAATTGTTTGTGAGATATGAAAAATAGATTCTGCCTGGATTTATATAATTTCAACCGAATTTGACGATTATTATTTAGTTTATAGCTATAAGAACATACAAAATATAAAATGACTTGTGTACTAAATGATTTTTATTCTTTTAGTAACATATCGTATTCCACTGATTGATGCTGATACGTTAGACTTATTACCGCTTCACTTTGCTGTCGATCCGGGACCATCTTTTCGTTGGCCAATTAATGAAGAACTGTCCGATAATGTTATTCAGCAATATGAATTGCACGGTGAACGTCGACTGAAATTATTGGAGAAATATTTAAGTTTATGTAAAGAATTTACATCTCTGACCACATTATTCCCATCAACTTCCACAGCAAACGGTGCAACACCATCAACTGCCTCTTTTACTCAACAGCAAATGAATGAAGAATCTAATAATATTGATATGTCAACAACAAATGTATCTGAAATGAATGAGTCATTGAATTCTGCTACATCGGCAATACCAAATATAAATAAAAAAATACCAAAACCATTAAATAATTTTGGTAAAATAATTCGTCGTGCATTCATTGAGCCATTTTCACAATCAAAACGAGCTGCAGCGGCCACAGCGCTACGTAATGAACAACAAATGTTAGGCGATGCTGTAAGGTCACAAAACGCATCAACATTTGAGAATGAAAATGATGATGAGTATTTAAATCAATCATCATTATCACTATTGAATCCCCGTACAAATATTTTAACAGTCATAATGGTAAATTTTCAGCCAAAACGACCTCGAGCTTGTGATAGTATGATTAAAAATTATATTGACACATGTATTCGAGAATATCGCGAAGAATTGATAAAGCAACAACGACAAAATACGGATGTAAATGATATAGTCAAAGAACAAACATTCATATTACCACGTCAACAAACTGAAAATAACAACAGTTATAATCGTAATGTCACAACTACAAATAATGATTCAGTTTTAAGAATATCAAAAAACAATAATTTAGCAATAAATCAACCATCTTCGTCTTCATCGGCAATAGTTAATAATAGTCAACAATATTCTGGTAATTCATACATCTTTTGGTTATGTCTACATCTTCTCTTCTAATTTTTGATATATTTTAGATTTTTACACGAAGAACAAAGACAATAATGCATCCCCACAACCAATACACTCGACAGTACGATCGATTCAAACTCGAAATTCTGCTAATAATTCTCCTAACTTAAATGAAAAGAATATAAACTTAAATAATCAGACTGCAATTAGAAAATTACCACAATTGCCATCTCAGTCTAGTGGATCCTATGCTGTAAATGTTAATTCATTAACAAAACAATCAAATATAAATTATCAGACGCCTGCACGATCTTATCACCAAGTGGTTGACAACAACAATGCGGAGCCGGAGGAAGAAAATAAATTTTCAACTCAATATGGTTACGTTAGGACACAAGAACATCAGCAACATCCTCGTATTGCTGATGTACCTCAAGTAAGAAATATTTTCTTATTATGCACTTCAAACATACCTTTATTTCTTGAAAATTTTGTGGTCATCTCTGTGGTTTCATGGGTCTTTGATTTTTATAGAATACATACATGTGATGAAGTATGATTAACGCTAAAAATCATCTCTCTCTATGTTTCAGAGTAATAGTTCGGAATTTTCAAATCGTCATCAATATTCAATTGCTCCGCCAGACGGCTATAGTTATACTGATAGTAAATTAAATGGAAACATTTCGTCTTACTACGAATCTAAGAATGGAAATAGTCAAAAGCCGATACAAATGTCACCTATAATGACTCCTGTTAAACGTCAACAATCATTGAACAAGATACGATCAACACAAAATACATCTATTAATTCAATAAATTCACCTACTCGTATAGTAACACCGCAAATGATAGACAACAATCGATATATTAATAATAATAATAGTGCAATGAATTCTTACCGTCCTTCCTCTATATCAAGAGTTGCTCTGAAAAATCATCCACCCTCTCAAACATCGACGTGGTATGCACAAGTACCAGTAAACACCGATTTTATATACTGTGCAACGGAACATGAACGATTGTAAGATTAAAAAAAATCTTTCTCGTTTATTTTCTCAAGCTATTTTTGTTTTTTTGCACGGTTTTGTTGTTATCTCCGGTGATTTTTACAAATCAAAGTTTACGAAAAAAACTTGATTCTCTCCTTTTCTCATATACTGCACGGAAACTATTGATTTGAGTCAATGACAATAGCTGGCTCTGATGTTTACTTATATTCTCATTCCATTTTCAAGTAACCTTCACAGATATACCCACATTTTTTATGAAATAATAATGATCGAAATGTTTTTTTTTTTTGTTTTTTTTGTGTGCATTCTATTTAATTTTGCTAATAATATTCTTCGCATTTGTCTTTCTTTTTAACAGTGTTCACTTTTTTGTTTTTGTAACACAGATAAGGTTAGGGCCCACTATATCTCAACGTAGTTGTGTTTTAGCTAAAAAGAAACAGTAAAAGAATGTCTTAAAATTTCATCACGTCTTTCGTTTTAGGATCCTATTAACAGTATATCCAACAATTTTGCAAGCTTCTTTTAATTTTAATTTTCATTCTTTTTGCATGTGTGCATGGGGGGGGGGGGGGGGGGGGTTTTTTTTTGGGATAACGGTAAAAAAACACCAAATTTTTTAAGGTTTTTTTTTTTTTTATTGGGGTATAAAAATCACACANCCCCCCCCCCCCCCCCCCCCCCCCCCCCCCCCCCCCCCCCCCCCCCCCCCCCCCCCCCCCCCCCCCCCCCCCCCCCCCCGTGTTATTTATCGATATCCTGAAATAATCATCCTACTTTTTGAAGCTTTATTTGAGTTTAAGTGTGATGAAAACTTACCCAAGAGGATTAATTTCATTAAACAAGATCCCGATATATGCTTAAAAATCTCATTATCAGTACGTGTAATATAGGAGAGTCACGTATAACCTCAACGTTCATTTTTTTTGTCATGAAAATGGAATTTAGTAAATAGCTGTACTTCGAATGAACCTTTTTTGTTTTGCAAAAAAAGGTGTTTTGTTTGATATTTTTCTATTAAATCACTTTTATTTATTACTCTTATTTGTATGTTTATTTTTCGGAGACTATCTCTTTTTATCTAGTTTAGCCTTTAATGTTTAATGTACGGCATTCATTTCAATCTTTCTTTTATTATTTATATTTAACTATTTTCCATTTTAATTTTTTTGGTGTCATGTTGAATTATGTACATATTATTACTTTGCTTCATTACTAAAATTGAATAAATGATGCATTATCTTCGTTGAATTCCTTTTCTTTTCTTTTTTCGAAACTATAATGATTTTAAGAGTTCAGTGAACCACATAGAGTCTGTTATCTGCCATGAAGATGATCGATGAGATATTGTTAAATCCCTTCGTCTATATACGAGAGAAACGTAACTTTCTAATACAATCACTTGTTTAGATACGTTTCTATAATAACTCAGGTTATAAGAGGCTCGCTTGAGCATATTTTTTCCTGTGCTTTGCCTAGTATTTTGCCCACTTCCACAAAAATTTTCTACTTGATACGTGCTTTCGTTGCAAAGTTATGGACTCGAAAGTTGAAAAAACTGAATTTTCTGATGACTCATCATCTGAAAACTGAATTTTTGATTACATAAAAAGATATAAAAAGAAAAGGAAAGCAGCGCATCCTGTAGAGAATTGAATTGTGAATCTAACCATATGATTAGTGTTCAACTTTGTTTACTTTTTTTTGTTGTTCTTTGGATATAATCATTTTACAAGCATCTTTTCCGTTTTTTGTAGACCGATCTTCTCTTACAGTTTTTCCCAAAAGTCCGCCACTGAAGAAATTTTTGGAATGGCTAAATTGTAGATCAGACGTCGGTCTATAACTCTATTTAAAAAAAAATCCAGTTTGCATGATTTGGTAGAGATAAAAACGGCTTTAAACCCTCATTCTTGCGGAAGTCAATTTCCGCTCTAAATGTAGACTGACTTTTTGCAACTTGTTTTGCTCAGAACTAATGAAGCATGCATTGGTTCTCGATGAAACTTCTGCACTAGATAGAGCATCAAAAGTTGTACTAGCAAAAGTAATTTCAGATCGAATCCTCATTTTGTTCCTTACTATTTTTACATTATAGGGGAAAATGTAGACCGACTTTTGTTTTTAACTAAATGTAGACCAACCTTTTTTCGTGAGATTTTTGGTCAAAGCTAAACGAAAACCATCAATACCGTACACCAGTCGACTCCTCAGACTGTGGTGAGTTTGATTACCTAATTTTTGGAGCTCTAAAATCTATAGTCTTTGCTAAAATAATGGATAATTCTGAAAGTAGAATCACATAACGAAATTAGGACTTTTTAGATTTTAACACTAAAGAATGAAAAAACTTTTCTGCGATTTTTCGGCTTGACGCATTTGCTCACAGTCCCACTGTACTGCTCGAATCATTCTCTGTCGAACGATGTAAAATACATCTATTTCAACCCTTTTTCCAGCAAAATCCTGCCAAAAATTCTCTATGGCAAAAACTGGAAATTGTCTTCCTCCTAACTCAGCCAATATGAGTCTGGCAGTTGGGAAATTTTTATAGGATACTCGGCAAAGACAGGGGAACCAAACGTACTATTCAAATTTTTTTAATGAACACTTTCATTTTTTTTTATCAATTGTACCAGAAAGTTACGTTTCTCTCATACTTTTCTAATTCGGCAATGATATTCTATTTTTTAATGAAAAATATAGAAACATACAATTATACTTAATATTATTAGAACCATGATTACTCAAAGGTATCTTTTAAAAACACAGATTTTTTATGAGTTTTGTTACATAAGATTCATTTGTAAGCAGAATATTGTACCATTATTAACGCAGATGTACCAGGTTTTCAAATGAAGGCACAACAGGTATCACAAATGTACTTTACAATTAAAAATATTTATACTGCATCCAGGTTGAACATTCTAACCACTGTATCTTGTTGGATCACTGTCAAAATACAACGAAATACGATATAATTCGATCAAATTCAACCCGATTTCGTTGAAATCTATTTTTTCGGCATTCAACTGGCTGACCGTGTCCTTGGTTGCAAGTGGACTAACTGATCGCTTATGAATTCGATACAACTTTTAATTTTGAATGCTTTAACCGAAGTAAATATTGAATTCAATGGTAAATTAAATATCCAAATTTATTCCAATGGATTTTATAGATCTTACTATAAGTTGATCGTGGAATGATCGAAGAGTCTCTTGATACTCGAAAACGTCGGACAACGTTTTCATGGGAAAATCGTGCGCCAGATAGAAAGTTCTTGGTTATCCGATGTGAACTCAGCTATACCATCTAAATTAAAGACCAACAATACAATCAAATGTATTACAATCAATACTAGATTTGCTATATGGAGTTTTGTTTAGAGTATAACGTTAAAGTTATATGAAGTAAATTACAATAAAATGAAACACCAATATTTCCATGAATAATTAAAACTATCTTGATTTATGAAAGAGGACGGTGGATAACTTCGAATATCCAATATTAGGTCTCATCCAACTATTAATGGATTATTAAATCTACCAATTGTAAATTATGTAGCCACCTTCTCCGTTCCGTTATCTATTTGTACAAAAATAATAAATATGAGCAAAAAATCGGTATTTTTTATAAAATAAATAAATAAATTTTTTTTCAAAGAAATTCTCAGCTTGTGTGATACATAATTCTCTTTGCGGTAAGTGGAAGAAAATAATATAATTCAGTTTATCAGAAGCAGATACATATTTACGAGTTCGTTTTATCAAAAATAATGTGCAACTATATTTTTCCACATTATGAATACACTAGTCATGCATGTATTAATTCTCTTTCAAAATCGAATCAATCTAATAGTTGAATCTTGTTGATTCATAGTAGTCAAGCAACTTTTGAATATGATCTAAAATCCGATGTGACTACTTTCTTCGACTTTAGTATCCTACAATAGAATCACTACTGTCCATATATCAATCTTTTATATAGTTTTTTCATTATTTTTCAATAGTTTTCTTGAAAATGTTTGATTCTTATCGTCACTGTTTTGTCTTTTCCAGATATGACACCTAAATCGAAACGTCATAAGATTAATAAATCTTCATCTCAAGAATCAGTGATCGTATTGAACGATGATGACGATTTTATGTCAACAAAAACTACAAAAGCTCGCAAACGTTTAACAAGATCATGTTCATCATCAATATCAGATGTTACACGATCTAAATCAAAATGTACAAAAATAAGACGATCATTTTCAAACACTAGTCAACATCGTCCATTAGATCCAATTGTTGAGAATCAGAGAACAAATGAAATTAAAGAAAAAATTGTAGATGAAAAAAAACCTGTTATTACTATTGATACAACGATGATTATGTTAGCTAATGGTAAAATACCTTTAACAAACTATGAAGAAAAATATCTTCTTGATAATTTGTTACTAAAAAAATTAAATAAATTATGTAATATTGAAGAAATTTTAGAAGAACAAGTTTTAATAATATTAAAGACAAATTTTAATAATTTAATTCCGTTATTTAGTTTAAATAAGACTTGGTGTTACGATTTTCTTATTAAACATTTGAAATATATCATGGATAATTCAGATTCAACATATTTTAATAAAATATTGGATAATGATAATGATGATGATGGTGATAATGATGATAATCAAGATAGATTGTATTCTTATAAACGATGGCAATTAATTACACTTGTACGTGAACATAATCAAAATAGAAAAAAACAACTAACTACAACAACAACAACCACTGCACGAATACTTTTAAAAGAAAAATTAAAATATAATGTAAATCTTTTTGATGAACTTGAAGCTATTTAAAGAATAATATTAAAATAAAAATATCATTCTTTTTTTTTTTGATTAAATTACAACTATTCTTCTCTTTTCTTTTGTGTCTGTGTATGTATTGCTTGAATTTTTTTGTCTGATAAAAACGACTAGTCCATATTTTACTATTATTTTTACTTAAAATGCCAGATAAATGATGTATTATTTTTTTATTAATTAGATATTTGAATAAAAAGAAACAAAAAACACCTATGATCAATTCTATTTCACATTGTAGAAGTTAAGACCATGTAAATAATGAGAAACTTGAAGCAAATATGTGTACACACATCAAGAAAAATGTGTATTTTAGTGTTTTACAAGACGTTTTTGTACTTACATTATATCAGATGAAGATCTCGAATGATTTTTCATCGAGAAAATGATTTCTTATCGTTTTAGAGTAAATAATGCCTGTAAAAGCATCTGTTCGTAAATTAACAAATGGAAGTTCAAATGGTGTTATACCAACATCTCATCAACGATTACAAAATCGTGCTGCAGCAGTCTATGATGCATCTATTGACTGTTTTGATCTAAATATTGTTTGTCATCTTCATCGTTTGTCAAAAGAAACAATATTAAACGATTGGAAAGGCAATATAGATTATTTAAAAGAAAAACTTAATTTATCTGATAAAAATGATATTAAACGTCGTTTTAACAAAATATTAACTGAAGTTAATAATGATGGTCTACATCCAACATTAGGTTGGTGATATTTTTTTTTTGTAATTTCAAATTCGAGTGTGTCACACATTGTTTCTCACTCATTTTAGCTTGTATTTATCATTCAATTCCATATGTCTATATTGGTACGCACTATTAATTTATTAGCGAACTTATTCAAGTTCATATTGTTTTCAAAAGATTGACTTATCGTTCAATCTTTGAGCAAAAAAAAAGATATTGGATTCGATCTTATTTTTATTTTTAGAACAAGCGATCAATGAAAAATCAATTAAAAATTCTATGAAACGCTTTTTAGACGATTTTAATCCTAATAAAAAACAAATTATTATAGAAGAAAAATTTTCATCATCAAATTCACTTTTAGTATTAATTAATCAAGGTACACCGATCTTAACAAAATTTGAAGAAAACTATATTTTAAATTGTTTATTAAAAATTAAGCCTCAAACATTTAGTGATATTGAAGATATTCTATATCAAGAAATTAATTCCATTATTAATATTAATTATCAGATAAAATTAACATTTATTGATGAAATATGGTTAACCACATTTATGATAAATTCATTCGATTATATGTGGAAAATTGATCAAAAATGGTTAAAATTGATAGCTGAAAGTAAAACAAATGAGAAAAAATGGTCAAAAAAATTAATTAAATATATTTCTAATCAAAATGATAATGATAAAATGAAATATTGTACAACAAAAAAGAGAAAAAATTATGATAAAGAAAATGATGATAATGAGAGGAAAGATGATCAACCATTGGCGAAAAAAATGAGTCAATATTAAATGTTTATATTTGATATTTTAGTCAGATAGTTTAGTCAATTTATTTTCATGATAAACACTTTGATATGACTGATGACTCTCTCTGCTTTTTTCAAATTTTTTTGCCTCAAGTTCTTTCATTAATGTTCATTTTATGTTATACCTACAATATTAATGAATATTAACTTTCTACAGATATTTGCAAGAGAATACTATATATTTTATTTATCTTTGCTTCTCATATTTTGTTCGAACACTTGCATGAGTTTTATGTCAAGACGGGTAATCTAAAATCATGTGTGTATCAAAGTAAGAATTTGAGCTCTATTATTTGTTGTTATTTTTTGAAGACAATTGCACTAACGAGTATCATCACATTTTAGAATAGTAATATAAATGATCTCTTTAACAGTAATAAATTCGATTCGATAGTGTAGTTTTCAAAGAAAAAGAAAAATTTTGAATTGAACTTGAACTATTAGTTAAATATTGTGACATTTGATACACTAAAATTTACTAACTAATTTGTTTATTTCAATTTTTAATTCTGAGTAAATTGTTTGTTGTTTTTTTTTTGCTTATTTTGTGTATTTTTATTTGTGTCTGTATGTACTTCCTTTGAAATGTTTGTTGATTCAACTCAAATAACTATATCAACGTGATTTTCCTCTTCTAATTTGTTAATCTCATCGTAAATTTGCCTAAAATGATTTCAATTACTATTGATAATTTTACATAATTAAGTTTGTCAACTTCGATCATCGTGGTAAACTGGCTAATGATTCTGTTATATTAAGTTTAGAATTATTATTTTAAATTTTCTGTCTATGTTTACAATTCTAAATAGAAAAAATATGTCTTTTTCTAAACATTTCTTTTATTGAAAAGATTCGTTGTCCATTTGATTTAGATTCATGTTTAGGGTAAATTATTCAATGAATAGATTGATTATACATTATTACAATTTAAAAACGTATAAAATCTTTAGACTATTCTGTTTAAATCTTAATTTAAATGTTAGATATATATGTGTAGTGTAGTTATAATTAAATAAGAGCGAATAGTTTGCTTCGATGTTATTTTTGTTTAATTGAATCTTTATTTTATTATCTGCAAATATTTTTTTCTTCTTCTTCTATAGACCATTGAAGTGAGTCAGATTTTTTTGTACTATAAAAAAAAAAGAAGAAGAAGAAGAAAGAAACTGGTTTATGATACAGCTGGAACGGAAAAACGGTGTTTCTTTTTTCCTCATAATGTGAGAAAAATAGCGGCAGATAGATATGAGTGTGTGCATCTGTTTTGTAAAAGAAAAAAAAATAGAGTAAAAAAAGAACCATTTGATTCAACATATAGAGGTTTTTTAATTATTAACAAGGTGAAATGAGTATTTTTTTTTCCTCTTTTTCTCGCATGCATCACGGAATGAAAGAAACGGTAAGAAAAAGAGATATTGTACCTGTACTCCAATTTTTTTTTTATTCTTATCTCTTTAAGTTTTTTAATAGATGTGAACATGCATAGTTATCTTATGAAAAAGAACGGGAAAAAAACATTGAAAAACCGATAAAAAATTTTCACCCCATCGGTTTTTTTTTTTTTTTTTTTTTTTAAACGGGGGTTTTTTTGATCGCACAAAATTAAAAAACAAAAAAAAAAAAAAAAAAAAAAAAGAAGAAAAGAAAAGATACCAAAAGTTGTTTTAATCATAGATACGTTTTATAAAAATTTTTAAAACTCCTATTAACTAGACAATCTGTAATATATGGCAGTTTTTGTTCATTAGTTGTTGTTTTTTCTGTTATCAAGCAGAGTTTTATCACTGTACATATTTTTTTCATTTTTACTATCGATCAACACTCATAACAATGTTTTGACTATTATCTGACGTCATTTTGGATCTATTATTGATTAAGTAAATAATGTATTTTCTTATCGATTATATAATCTGAGTATGTATATTGTGGGTTGTTATTGTTCAGTATTCCATAATTTTTTTTTTTTTTTTTGCCAAAAATTGTTTTCTTTCTTTATATCTTTATCCATCTCTTTCTCTCTATATGTATGTATACTATTTCATCTATTACGAAATCGCGTTCAAATCGTTAATCTTTCTTATCACACATTTTAATTGTGCATAGTACTAATAATAATAATAATAATAATAATAATAATAATAATAATAGAATGTTAGTCATATATATATATATATACATTTATTCATCTATCAACAATAACGAGAGAGATTGATAAATAAAGGTTCAATAAATAGACTAGAAAATATTCAAACATTTATCTGACACATAGAGTTTTAACACAGTGGGCAAGATTTTTCTTCTTCTTTTTTTTTTTTCTTATATTCTTCAGTAATCACTGATCAAAAGTAATGAATAAGATGTGGTAACAGTTGTTTTGAGCTGAATTCGTAACTATTCAGACGGAGGTCAAGTGTTCTTATAAACTAGATTTTTATTAAATACCAACTATTGTTTTATTTTCAAGTTTCATTTACTATCTTGCTTGATTTATTGATATTATAGTTAAAGATATTCAGTGAATATCATCTCTAAGGAAGAAGGAGAAGAAGAAGAAGAAAAAAAAATTGTATAAGTTCATCAAAATTGAACGAAAAGATTCTTGATCTAATCGATAATGGTAGTTCTCGTCAAATGCACATGAGTAAAATAGAGGAAATTTTATTTACGTAATTTATATCATTGTCTTCAGTATGTTAATCTTCAATCATTTCCTAGTCTTCTCGATGTTGTCATCGTCTTTCTTGTATTTGGTTAAAAAATTATTTTTCATGTATTTTTTTTTTTTTTTCGTTGATCTCTTAAGTTGATTTGGAATATATTTGACTAATAAAAATGAAAATTTCTCTCTTTTTTTTTCTTCTTCTCTTTCTCTCTTTTCCCTCTTTATGAATAATCTTATTAAATAAATGATCGAGTAGATGAGTGAGAGAGTTAACCGAGAAATAAAAACTAATCTGTTTTCTAGTTTGCCTTCAAGCAAATTATAATTGTTGAAAAGAAAAAGAAATGTGTATAAGATATATTTATATAAAAAAATACGTTTAATTCGAAAAATTGTCTATATATTTTCTTTTTCATCGTTTTCTACGACTGATTCATCATCAAGAAAACTTTAAAAAAAAAAAGGAAAACTAACTTGTAAAATTCATTAGTTTATAAAATAACAGAGTAAAGTAAAACAACTGATAAAGATGTTAGTGTTTTTTTTTTTTATTAGTGTTTTATTTTAAATATTTGCATTTTTAATGTATGTAGAGTAGAATAGATATGTTATTTCTTTTTTTATTTCATGTCTATCACAACTAAACGTACGGATAAGTGTGTATGTGTGTGTGTGTGTTAGACAAAAAAGAAGAAAAAATCATCTATTCTAAAAATACCATGTCAATCTGTTTTTTTCAATCTTTAATTATACTCATTTTACTTTAAAAGCGTCGAGAAAAAATACATTTTATTATCATTTTGGTCATGCACATAGACTATCTTAAAACTATTACGATTTTTAGTTTTTTTTTTTTTTGCACATTAGACAATATGAATCTATCTTACTTTTATTTTTAAACTTCATTTTTTTCATTGTCAGATAAGAGATGCGTTAAAATAAGAAAGAGAAAAACTATTTTAACTATGTCTGAGTAATGAAAAGCGAGTGAGAAATAGTATTACTTAAATTTGATTCAACTATTTGATTGTATTGTCCTAATATCAAAGTTCTTTTTATTTTTCCAGTATTTGAATACAATTCTTGCCATTGATGCGTTCAAAGTTGTTCTCTCAAGTTTTTCTTTTTTTTTTTTAGTTTTTTTCATAAATATTTTCTTTTCTTCAAACATTTACTACAACCACCCGAACTTCGTTTTCTTTTTTTCTTTTTTCCTTCTGCTGATTTATTTCTAATATTGACTGTTTGTATCCGTGTTATAGAAATAAGTGATTTATCTCTATCTTTTTTTTTCCTCCTCTTTGCATAAAAGCAAATGAAAGAAAAAAAGAATAAATACTTCTGTATGATATAATGTTTGATGAGGAGTTCAGATCTAGCAAAAAACTAGAATTTATTTGTTAGATGTTTCAGATGTTTATGTGGTAACATACACATACACACACACACACACACACACACTCACATTCCATTCAATGAGGAGTGAGTGATGGCTATTCAACTTTTTATTTTTGTATCTGTTTTTAATAATATTTATTTGATTTTGTCGTTTATTTCTATTTCACTATGTGAGATTGATCCTACTTTGATAATTCTAGTATTTTAAGAATGTTTATAATCTTTAATCTTGCATAAGATTGATGTCATGAACATAATTTAATTCTAAAAATTTTATTGTTCATCAACTAAAAATGACTTGTACTAGGATCAGTTTTTTTTAATATTATTTATAAAATGTCGAATTTATTCTGTCGTTTATAAAATAAAAGTTTACTTATTGTTTATGAGATGAAAACGTACCATTAATAAAGCGATGCTTTCGTAAAAAAGAGTGAGTTATCGAATTTTTTCATAAGATTTTAAAAAAAAACTATCTTATTTTCTTTTAACACGATGTTGATATAAACGTCTCATATAAAGTTTCTATTTCTATTTCATTATCTGTGCTAGAGAAAATGATAGACTTTTACACAGGTGCACAATAAAAATTCAATTAAATACAAACAAAAATAAAATCATCTATCGTAAGCATAATTCCTGTTTATACGAAATAGAAGAATACTGGAACAGACAGATTCTTGAACGTCATTTTTTTTTTCGTATGTTATACTATGAGACGTGTCATTTTTCTTGTATAAACTAGATGCGTGTGTGTGTGTGTGTGTGTGTGTGTATGTGTAATTGAATATATACGTAAAATACAAACAATAAAATTCATCATCATCATCATCATCATCATCATACAAGCGTAATAACGAATAGGCGTTGTTTAAATTTATATCGCGCTTATGTATTACTGTTTTTTTTTTCGTTTCTACAGTGAGTATTATGTATATACATAAGATGCGTGAATATAACACCAGCAGCTTGATGACTTGAAGTTACTTAACTCAGATGTTTTTTGTGTGTGTTAAGTGTCAAAGAGAAATCGAGTAAATGTAGTGTTTAATAGAGAATACAATTGTAAATTTGACTATGAACAATGTATTATTTCAGTCTATCCGATCTCTTGTTGTTAAAATATGTTCTTCTTTTTAATATTATAGAATGATGATAATTGATCACGTTTTTAATATTTTAACTCTTTGAGTCCCTTAGTAGCAAAAATGCTACACATGTTTTATTATTATTTTTACACAATATAATTTATAAAAATTAGTAAGGAATCTCTTGGAATCAAGCAATGAATAATTAGCCAATTAATAGTAGATGCACTTATGTAACGAAAATATATTTAATTTAACTAAAACTCATATAAGCCTTGAAAAATAATTTGAGACTCAAAGAGTTAATCTCATAACTTTAATTAATAACCGTATATTTTTATTTTTACTTTATATAACGATAGTACTTTCTTGAGAAAAACTCCCATTTAAGCAGAATACATGATGAACATATTGTGTAAATCAACCATTCTAAAAATTATATGCGTTTACATAACTTGATAGAAGTAGCAGTGACGTATATATATTTAATCTTAATTTTATGAATTTTGAAACGTATAGATGAACTACTTAATAGTGAGCTTTAATTTTTAGATCGATTTGTTCAATAAAATAGTTTCATATAAATACGAATCGATTACGCCTCTGCTTTTCTTAGTCTCACCTTGATGTCTTCGATGAAATATCCTTCGGATCAAGTAATTATCAATTGTTTCAGTGGATTATTTTTTTCTAACTCGAAAAGCGCGTTAAGCTTGATTTTTCTCTAGGTTTTTCCGCCCTATCATTATCACAATAAATAACGGCATCTTTTTTTTTTTTTTTATATTATAAATTCTCTATAACAAACAGATTTATCTTTTTTTTTCGTTACTTCATACTTCAACATCGTTTTTAATCGCATGAAAGGTAATATTTGTGCCCTACACATCAGAGGAGAATAGTCGAAGGTTTCCAAAAAGAAAATGATATATATATATATATATATATATATAAAGCAAATTAATAAAACGTTAAGGTTATTTGAGATTGAGTCAAAACATGTGTGCTTTCTCTATATAAGAGTGTATTCTCTATGCTTAAACAAAAGATGGATGAATGATTAACGCACGACACCATCAATATGGGAAAAACTTTAAATCAGCTTTTTTATATTCTACATAACGATTTTCTTTTTTTTTTCTCTTTTTATAGAACTTGGTTATGGTAATGTATATGTCACCACCTACCTACCACCCGCTTCTTAGAAACAACAAAGTTTAATAACTGACTAGAATTTCATCTAATAATTTGGTGGCACGAGATCAAAGACTTCTTTTTTTATTTTTAAGAGTATTTTTACATATCAATAGAAGGATAAGAGACTATTTTATTATTCATATCACATCAATTTCCTTATCAAATTTAGCTTGTTTTTCTCGACAATTTTCCTTCTTTCCACTTTTAACTGTACTTTCTTTAAAAATAGATCCATAGCTAGATATTTTTTATGATTATGTGTATGTGTGTGAAACAAAATTGTTCATTTTTTGTTGTTATTTCGAATGGAAAAAGTAGGACATTGAGCATATAAGCTCTATAACTTCATGGAAAAACCAACACATACACACACATATGTTTTGAGTTTTTTAGAAAAGTATTTATTTATTCAATACCAATATTATTAATATATACATATACAAGTATCCTCGATATACCTATTTAACACATTTTTAATTCGAGAAAAAATAATATGAGTTTTTTTTCTCTTTATATATATATAGATATTGAGATATATAACTCGTATATCGAATTTTTTTCTTATGACCTCGTTTTTGATGGATGACATGTATGAGAGAAGAAAAAAAAAAGGCGACAGTGAGAGATAGAAAGAAAGAGTTGAACTAATTTCGCGTCTATATACTAATATTATGACAAAACACAAAAAATATGTATTTATAAAAAAAAAAGAAGAAAAGAATGACGATGTATACATGCAATACCTTTCCTTTTCTCATTTCCTAATATAAGATCATGAAGAGTTTTTTTTTTTCTTCTTTTCGTTGTTGTTGATCATTATTTAAAAGAACAAAAAGAAAACAAAAATAAAATTGTGTTTGAATGACTCTTTTTCTTCTATTAGTAATTGTTCATTACTCATATACAATTTTTTAACTTAAAAAATAATTTCAACATTAATATTGCCTCATTTAATATTTTACACTCTAAAAAATGACCAACTATTTAATGATTGAAAAAAATTGAAGTAAAACAAAAAAAGAGAGAATAATTATTATTATTTTAGATGTATTAACTAATATTTATTGGAAAAATCGCACCTCTATCCCAGTTGTTATTATTTTTCTTTTTTCTTTTTTAAATTAGTTTATTCCACAATTCATGAGTATTATAGATCTTTGTAATAATAGTGATAATACACTCGATGTTTCTGATTTTGATGATAACGATATAAATAAAGTTGAACAATTGAAAATTGTTGAACAACACTATGATTTGGAACCATTTTTATTATTATCATGCCAAGATATATTAAAAACAATTCCTCTTCTTGATCCAAAATCTCGTTCAAATGAATCGGGTTATAGTTCAAAAACCGAATGTAGTAGTCCAGAAAATAAAACAAATCGACATAATGATATGAATAGAATGAAAAATAATATTAAAACTGATCAATTAAAAGAAAAAAAATCAATGATACATAAAACAATATTATCATCATTTGAAAATTTTATACAAAAGGAACGAAATTTACAACCACAAGACCATCAACAAATATCACCTCGAATATTATCTGATAATGAACAAAAAATTGTAAGGATAAATTTAATTTTTAATAATTATTAAAATTTTTAATATGAGATATTAGTTAAGACGTTATAAAACTTTTCTTTCATTCTGTTTAATTATAGGATGTTGATAGACGTACTCAAAAAGTAATTCGACGATTATCACCAATTAACGATGAATCATCCCATATAACTAGTGAATATTTGTCAAACAATAAAGATTTAATAACTGATCAACGTTTTCCAATAGTGATTCCCACCGATAATGATAATACATCTCTTTCTTTTCCTCCTGTCTCTCCAGTATCTATTCGTAATTCTCACACATCATTACCAACAACAGCGTTAGCACGACGCCATTTTCATGTCTATGATGATTGGACACGTTTAAGTTTTTATGATAATGTTGAAACAGTCTCACCACAATTAATGTCATTGTCAAATAATGAACCATTAATTATTGATTTTGATCCGATCACCGCAACTACCACCGCCACTACTACATCTGCTTCATCACCAACCTCATCACATGATGATAAACGTTTCGTCACATTTAAACGTCGAGATGATAAACGAACAGTAATTGAACAACATGATTCATCATCAAATAGTTTATGTGATGTACGCCGTACACAATATGATAGAAAAGACTCAGGACTCGGAACGAGTAGTGTTGAAAGACAAATTGATCTTGAAAAAAAAAATTTATCTGATATTGAACAATCAGCTCATAGACAACAACGATCATTATCCACTACTTCATCATTGTCCACATCAACATCGTCTATTTCTTCAAGGAACAGTAATACTAATAATGTAACAACAACATCATCATCCGCATCAAATCGTTTACCTACAAGTAGACGTGTCAGAGTAAAATGGCATTCATTTACAAAATCTCATCGACCAAGTTTTAATTCTTCTAAATATCATGTATCATCAATGTCTGTTGGACAACTGTTTGCCTTACGTCGTGCAGCATCAATAAGAATACAAGAATTACTTGATCCAAGACACACATCATTACCAAATAATGATTTCGATCCTTCATCTGTGAATATTAATTACAATAATAATATTAATAATAACGTATCAGTAGCAGCTACACCAACACGTATTGTAACACCATTTTGGAGTCATGTACCCAAACTCATCATAAGAAGACATAAAAAGGTAAAATTGAAATTGATTTTTTTATTCAATAAATACTATATACATTGTTGATATCTTCTTTCGTTTTTAAGGAATGTCATCATGATACCAAAGAAGTTAAAAAGTCTGTATTTGGTGTATCACTGATGGCAATGACACAGAAAACAGGTCATCCTGTACCAACAACAATATTATCAGCAATGAAATATCTTCGTCGTACATCCATCGATTCTGTTGGCATATTTCGTAAATCGTAAGTGTTTTTATCATTTGTCTCTCTTCTATTTTATTCTAAAATTATGAGCATGTTTCTTTTTTTGACTAGTGTGTATTAATTTTTTTTTTCCTGTTGTTCTAGTGGTGTAGTAAATAGAGTAAAACGTTTACATGAGTTAATTGAATCGGATTTAGAATTTCATAGTTTTGATGATTATTCACCATACGATGTTGCCGATGTTATCAAACAATATTTTCGATGTTTACCAGAAAATTTATTTACAACAAAATTATCCTCCGTATTTCTTAATATAAGTGAATATTTTTCACCTCCTATATCAGTTGAGTCAACAACAATGAAAATTAATAATGAAAAACGTTTACGAGCATTGCAATACGCCATATTATTGTTACCAGATGAACATCGACTTGTTTTACATTTACTTTTATCATTTTTAAATGATGTATCAAAACATTCAAAAACAAATCAAATGAGTACAATAAGTTTAGGTGAGTGAAAAACATATCCTTTTTTTCTTCTCCTTAGCATATTAATTCTAGATATATTTTGAATGATATTGACAAGACATAAATAATTATTATTCTTCATTGTTCTTTCTAGCCACATGTTTTGCTCCAACACTGTTTTCGTTTCGTCAGTATAATCAAACCGGTGTTGTATCTCCTCGACAGATAAGAAAACTAAATAATGCGAATACATCGTCAATAATTCACAATGGTTTATCTATAGCAGCTACACCTATTCTCGGTATGCCTGACTATCGAGAAATACATGAACAACGTAAAGCAATGGAAATTTTGTCTTGTATGATTGAAAATGTTCGACTATTATTTCTTGTACCTGATGAATTACATCAAAGTTGCCAATTTTCCTATATAGAAATAGGCGAACCATGTACGTTAGATGAATTATCGCGACGTGTAACAGAAAATTCAAATCCAACATTGCTTCCTCCACAATCATCAACTCAAAATACACAAAAATATCGTCGTTGTTCATCTAGTAATTTAGTATGTAAACGTAGCACTACTCAACAACGTGCAGCAACACAAGCTACTACCTACGTATCTGCGAGTTCATCAATTGGATCCCTTAGCTCATCGGCATCTGCTTCATCATCCTGTGAAAACATGATTTTATCTAATAATAATAATAACAGTAATAAAAATAATAACAATAATAATAATCGACAAATTTCCACAAAAGCATTATCATCGTCCCGCTTATTTTCTGAACAAACATCTGCTTCTTCAAGTTGTTCATCCGCTTCATTCTCACAAAAATCCAATTATAAAGCATTTATTGACCGATGTATTGATGAAATAATGCGTGAATCGTGTCATACTAAAGTGAAAGGTTGGCAATCATTTGGAAAACATAATGAAATAGAATTAGCCTATAAAAAATTAGATGATGGTTGTCCGTTAAGTTTATGGAAATGTACAACGACCGTTGAAGCACCACCTCTAGATATTTTAAATCGTCTTTTATATGAACGACATTTATGGGATGCCGATTTTCAAAATGGTACTGTTATTGAATTATTAAATAAACAAACACATGTATATCAATATATTGTTAATGAATTAGCACCGTTAGCATCAAGATATTTTGTTGAAGTCAGATCGTGGAGAACAAATATTCAAATGAATAATGGACAACAAGTAACAACAGCAACAAATCAATCATCATCACAATTATTAACTGTAGGATCATCATCGTCAGCATCTAGTAGTGCCATTCAGTCATTTACACAACAACAACAACAACAAAAACGTGAAAGTTGTGTACTTGTTTGTACATCTATTGAACATCCAAAAGCTCATTGTCCACCAACCTTAGGTATGTTAAAAAAAGTTATATTTCATTTTGTTTTTCGTTTTATTAGATTCTTAACTGAAACACTTTCATATTATCATATTTCTTTATTTTAGTTCGTGCTGTCACATTGGCATCACGTTATTTAATACAATCTTACGGATGTGGAAAATCGAAAATAACACATTTAAGTCGTGTTGATCTTATGGGTCGTTCAACTGAATGGTATCAAAAAGCCTATGGATCAATTTTAATACGATATATGAATAAAGTAAAAGAATCATTTGCTCATTCATCTACAAATTCCGATGGTCCTGAAACAAAAGTTTAAGAATAATTATTTGTTTTGTTTGTGATCTCCATTTATTTATTTATTCGTATGTTCTTCCATTTTTGAAATTTATCTCTATGAAACAACTTTTTCTTAAAATTCATCTTGTATATGTTTCATTTGAGGTGTAACTCAATATTTTAACTCTTTCTTTTTCTTTTTTTTTTGCGTATTCTATTTTCTAATGAACATGTACAGATGTTTATAGTTCATTTGTAGACATATCAGAATCTTTTTCTGTAATAGTTTTCGACATTAGTTCTAGATGTCTACCCTGTTTATCATTCCGAGATTTAATTTGTACGCTCGTTTTCGTCCATGAAAAAAAATTGCAAGTTTGTATTCTGTTTTTTGTTCGCTTTAAGCACTGAATCTGTTATTTGATAGTTTTGCTGTTGTTGACTTTTTTTCTTTTTTTTTTCTTCTTTTCTGCACGTATAAAAAAAACTGTGAATTGTATGTTCTTTTTTTTTTTACATTAATGATTTTCTTATCTGCTTCTTGTTCTTTTTTAAATTAGAAGAAATTTCACAAACAAGTTTTAACAAAAAAAATAATAAAGCAATAGGAAAACAAAGAATTTGTTTAGAAGAAAAATTCATTTTATACTTATAATCTGTTTCGGATGCTTTGTCGTTCAATAAATTGTCAAAGCAGAGACATCGTTAGTCTAAGAATGTGTAACAAGTGACGAGTGACAGCTATTTTATATTATCTGTCATTCAAACTATCTAAATTGAGTCATGATCGAAAAAATACCAGTTTTAACAACTGTTATCAAAATTCATGGGGCGGAAGGATTCTCTAAGAAACGAGAACAGCAAAAAACTTGATCTATCTCTATTTCATACCTAAGTTTCAGTTATAAAAAGCTAAATGATATTGATAATGATAAACAATTTTTTAAAATGAATATTATTCTTAAACACATTTCAAAATAATTAATTCAATAAAACTTTCAGCATGAAAAAATGAGTTGTCAAATGAAAAATAATAATCTGAGACAATGCATAAAAGTCTGATTGATATTATGACCCATCTCCTTCTTTTGCTGAGAGATGTCAATTATATAAAAGGATATGCGTTTGTTTTGAAAAGCACAAGGAATAAATAAAGAATAAGTTATGGGACCTTATTTAAGTTATGTTCCTTTTATTTATTTATTTCGGTTTCTAGCATAGAATTTCAGCCACTTTTTATTTCTCTTATTCGGATATGAGACGATGTTCGCATTCGTCAATCATTGATCCTGTAATTGAACTTCAAATAGATTTTTATTATTAAACTTGGCTTTTTATTGAAGAAAAATGAAAAAGCATCACATCCTAATAATTTATTTTTCGTTTTTTTAGATATTTTTTTTTCTCAATAACACATTACTTATGACTTTTCCTATGTTTCTATCTATTAGCAATTTTACTGTATATCACCGATGGGTATAACAGGTCTGTTGCCGTTATTGAAACCAGCTTCGCGTGATGCTAATATAACAGAATTTAACGGATGTACAGCTGCCGTTGACACCTATTGTTGGATATACCGTGGATGTTTCGGATGTGCAGATAAGATTGCTCAAGGAACACCATGCTCCGGGTAAATAATAGATTAATTTAGTTTTATTTTTTTCTTGAATCCCGTTTTATTTTTATTTTATTATCAAGTTACGTACGCTACGTGTCAAAATATGTCACTTTATTACTACAGTCTGGTATTAAACCAATTATGGTATTTGATGGCTCTCCGCTACCGTCAAAGAGGGGCACAGAAATGAAACGACGAGCGTATGTCTGTTGTTGAAAATTATAGAATACTTTTTACAGCTCTATGTTTTGTTTTATAGAGAAAAAGACATTAATCGGCTACGTGCTCAAGACGCTATTAAAAGTGGCAAACAAACGGATGCATTAACTTTCTATCGTCGATCAATTGATGTCACATCAGAAATTGTATTAGAAATTATTCAAGTATGTAACAGTCAAGAGTAAAAGAAAATATTAAAATGTATAGTTATTTTTAGGCTTTAAGAAAGATGGGTGTTGATTGCCTTGTTGCACCATACGAAGCCGATGCACAACTTGCATATTTAAATTTATCAGGAATTGCTGATGTAGTTATTACTGAAGATTCAGATCTTGTTTTATTTGGATGTAAGTTGGTAAGTACTTTTTACACTCAGTATGAAAAAAAAAGAAGACCTAATATCATTTTTTTTTTCTTGTTAGATATTATACAAACTAGATTTAAATGGAACAGCAACATTGATTGAAAAATCAAAATTAAGTCTTGTGACAGAATTTGATGATGATATAAATACATTTGAACGTTTTCGATGGATGTGTATATTATCAGGTTGTGACTATTTAGAGAGTTTACCAAATGTTGGTTTAGCCAAAGCAAAGAAATTACTACGAATAACAAAACGAAAAGATATCGATGTGGTAACTATTGTCTTGTATTTTATTATGTTCTAGAGCAATTATTTGAAAATTATCTATTTTCATTTCGTTTCTTACCGTTGATTATAATAAACTTAAAATTTAGATTCTCAAGCACATGCCAATTAATTTAAAAATGAATAATTTAAAAGTTAGTGAAAATTATATTGAAGCATTTAAACGAGCAGATTTGACATTTCAATTTCAAGTTGTATTTGATCCATTGATACGACAATTAGTAAGTACTTTACATTGATTATACTCTAATAAATCTATTGAAATTTGTTTTATATTTTGATAGACTTCATTGAATCCATTACCAGATGATATTAATAAAAATGACATAGAATTTGCTGGACGTTATGATGATAATGAAATTGCTTATCAACAAGCCATTGGCAATTTGAATACAAAGACAAAACAACGTATTGATGATTTTGATCCAAAACAGTGGAATGTATGAAAAGAATTAGTTTTTGTTGTTAACATTCAATTTGTCTATAAATTTGACTTTTTATTTTTATTTTGAAGATCACCTTTTTTAGATGAATAACTTTGCAAGAAAGATCGTACTTACTTTTATTTTGGATTTTTAGGATTACAAGCCACCGACTACATCGACATCGTCATTTTTTATTCCTCCCTATATGAAATCAATCTGGAAAGTTGGATATAAATGTCGTTCAAAACCATTTTCTATCAGCAGTCAATCGTCTTCAAAAGAGTCAATACCGAATACACAATTATCATCATCTTTCTCTATGACAAGTATTATTCATAAGCGAAAGGCCAAAAATAGTGAAATACGACCAAAAATATCATCAACTATGGCATTAATTGAATCAACAAGTTCAATATTACAATCGTATACAACAAATAGGGACGATGAAATAAATAATAGTAGTCAGATATTAGCAACGAGTCCCATTGCAAAACATGTATCAAAATCACCATTTGCAATATCAGCCATTTCTCCTAAACTTGAATATCATACAACAATGATAACTAATATTCAAGTTGTTGAAAAACATAATAGTTTTGATAAATTCGATCGTGATACAAAGAGTCGATTTTTTTCAAATAAAGAAACATCATTAACTAACAATAGTGTATTTGATCTGATAGAAACAAACGATAATATTCTTGTGCCTGATTCTGAAGAAGATGATGACATTCCATCAACGAGTAGAAAACGTTTAAAACAATTTGACTTAAATGATGAACAATCAACATTATCATTATTTTCATGTCCAGATATTTCGTTTTCAACTCAAAATTCAGATATAACAAATGGAATAGGTTCACAAGAAGAAAGAGGAATTTTAAAAAAGAAATCATCAAATTTAGATGAATTTAAGTTACGTAAACCGAAAAAGATAATTGAACAAACTCAATCTGAAGAAGAAAATAACGAACAATCAAGTGATTTTGTATGTTTAACTAATTACTTTGAAAGATATCTAAACATAAGAAGTGGTAAATTTTATAAATAGACAAACATGTCAAAACTAGAATCTACACGTCGTGAAAAGATGAATAAGCTGAATACTTTGTGAATATCTAATAAAAGCACAGTCAGATTGCGAGAAGAAGTATATAGACAAATGTGTATATGACATTCGTCTAAAGGGAAAAGGAGGGTATTAATCAGAGGTGCAGAATCTACCCGTACGCCGGTAGGTAGAAAATTTTTGGAAGCTGTGGAAATTTTTGAAAAATTTTCCAACAGAAAAAATATGGAATTTTTCTACATAGGAAGATATAAGAAATTTTCGCATAATAAGAAAGAAATCTTCTTTGCTAAATTTCAAATGTGGAAAATTTTCCAAAACTTTTACCGTTCGTGGAAAATTTTCAAACTTAATTTTTTTCTGTACCTCTGATATTAATATTATACATGAATAGATCTCTCTCATGAAATACAAAGTTTCTTTTGCGAATCGGTATTTAACTGTTCCATCATCTCATTTTTCTTTTTTCTGTTGTAGAATACTACATCAAATGAAGCTCTTGGTATGTGTTAAATCAAACTATATTAGCTGTTTTATTTATGTTCTATTTTGTGTAGATCTTTCAATTTCAACACAAAAATCTCCGCGTATGGTACTAAGTTATTTCAAAACACAATATGAAAAACAACGGTATGTTTCTACTATACGAGGCAAAAAGACGCAAACGATCAATTAATTCCCGATATATATTGACAAAATTTTTGTGTTTATTTTTAGTTCTCCTCGCATGGTTCGTCCGGTTTAAAGAAATGATTTATTTTTATTTTATTAGCTAAAAATCTCTGCTTCTTGTGCATATATCTTTTCTCAAATTGTGTCAGATAGTTAATTTGTCTATTTTGATGTCTGTATATATTTATCTCTTGTAGAATGCTATTTTTTTGCATGACTATTTTTTGTACTTATTTTCTGCTACGTAGTATCTTGTGCTAGAAATTCAATGATATTTTTTTTGTTTGAAAAGTAATGAAACTACACTTGTCAACGTTAGCAATAGTTTATTTGGTTTATTGTTATTTCTTAATGAATCTAGAGAAAATGAGTTGAATAAATAATATGAACTGTTCAGTAAATTCTAGACAAAATATTCTTCACAACTAATTATTGAGACATATCATGCATAATATATAAAATACAATTGAAAATACGTTAAGTAAGGCATTTACACATTTTTTGCGACCTTTCGATACTAATCAAGTTTTGTATCATCATCAGACAATATAACTGGAAGTGAAATAAGAAGAGAGAGACATAAGCAATATGAAAAACATGACTAGGCAATTTTAATTAATCAAATCTGTCCTTTTGTTTCCTTTTTCCTATGCTGATTAAAATATCAACATAGGAATAAAATATGGTCTACAATGACATCTCTTTAAAGACTATGATATTTTAATCAGCATAGGAAAAAGGAAACAAAAGGACAGATTTGATTA